GTAATGTAATGTGTGTGTGGACAGTGTGTAATTGATCTGTAGTCAGAAGTATTATTGAGCACGTTCGTTGTTATAGCGTTTGTTTAGCGCGATTGTTGAAGTTGAGTGTATCGGTAAAGTTATATTCGAAAAGAATAAACCAGTTTTTATTAAGAAAGAACTCGTGTCGCTTAAGTTTCGTCGTAACGAAGTTACGGAAAGTTAATTAACAAACAGAGACGTAACAGTCCCTTTCTTCCTCTCCTTACCATGTTTCTCAAACCTGCTTTAGAAAATTCCTTCTGCTGTAACACTCCAAATCTACCCGATAAGTTAGCCATAAATACCTTACAACAATCCTAAACATACATCATAAAATGTGCTAAATAAGATAATGAAGAAATAGATCTACCAAAGTGGAGATTGGATGTGTCTTTGGTATTGTTACATATCTGTATGTTTGTTTGTTAATTCTTTTAACATACAAGCCCTTTCTTTATAAAACTTGTTTATTCTTCCTCAATACACCTTTGTAATGTACTTAATTTTCACAGTTACACACACTATAGTTCACAACAATTCACTCACTTTCTATCGCGCTTAGACTTAATTGTCCGTCCCAGCCAACTATAGTTCCGATCTCTGTGTCTGCTATCCTCAGTTCCCGCCGACCGTAATCGCTGTCTTTCTTTCTCTCTGCCTGCTTCGTCTCTGCCTCCGTCTGTCTCTCTCTGTCTAGCGCACTTATATACGATAATAGTGCCTGTTCTAGAAACTTCTAAGACTCTCAACACGTGCTACCAGGGTCACTTGACTTCCGCTGTCGTAACACACTAGCGAATCTTCTAGAATACTCGTCACGTGACCCCCGCTGTCGTAACACACTAGGGAATCTTCTAGAATACTCGTCACGTGACCCCCACTGTCGTAACAGTATGTACCAGAAGCACAGAAGCCTCTTGGCTGCTGCTGCTACCCTGGACATCATTTTTTAATCCAATGAGTTATTACAGCAGTCGAGGGGTACCCAAAAGAGTGTTGTACATGTTTATCAGCTGTCTCTGTATGTGACCACAAAGTTTTAGTGAACTGACTTTCTCATGAAGAGTCAGATGAAAAGATATTCAAATCAGTTGAAGAAGAAAACTCTGTCTAATCTTATTACAATGACGAGGATGAGAAGGTAAGATCATAAGGCACTTATCCCAAAATGTTATGGCTGAGATTGAACAAAAAAAAACAAAACAAATAGGACAATTATTAGGTCGAGCACCTGACGATTGAAAAGACGTGGCAATCTTTGTTTTCAAGCTATCAACTGATGCTCATGATACAGTATAAGACTATATTGTGTGATTTCTACTTGATTATCATGAAGATGGAGTGGGTGGTACTAGTATATATAATACCTAGTGTGTCAACAGTTTGTATAACTGGAAATGATAGAAGTTCGAAAATACAGACACAAGAATGTTCCAACCATTTCTTGCTGAACTACTGAGTGATATTTTAATTTTTTGTATATGTGATTCATTGTAAGTTACCACTTGATCATCTGAAGATAGGATGGTTCGTTGAGGAAATGTACATTTTAAATCGAAAGGACTGTAAAATAATTTGTATCTCTGCATTTTTGTGTCACTTTCATGATTTTATGATTTCTCAAATGTTCTCAGTTTTATTTTGTTTTGTTGTTAAGCAAAAAGCTGAATAATGGGCTATCTGTACTCTTCCCACTGTGGGTATCGAACCCGATTTATAGTCTAGAAAGCCCTTAGACTTACTTCTGAGTCACCAAAGGGAGACTTTCAGATGTTGTGATATTTTCTTTATTAATTAAAGGAAACCGGGTTTCGATACCCGTGGTGGGCAGAGCACAAATAGCCCTTTGTGTAGCTTTGTGCTTAACTACAAACAAACATTAATTAAAGAGTTTACTATAATTATGTATTTTTCTTTGTTCAAGAGTTCTGTTGTAAACTTTGTATTATCTTGTGTTAAAAGGTACATTTTCATTTTGCATTCATTCTTCATTAAAGGGATTTGTAATTTTGTTTATTGTAATTATGTAATATTTTTCTGCTCATCGTAATTAAGTAAGATTTTTCTGTTTATTGTAAGTTTTGTAAACTTTTCTCTCTATTGTATGTGTGCATGTTTTAGCACATAACCACACAATAGATTATCTGCACTTTCTCCACTGTGGGGAATCAAACTCTGGATTTTGGCATTGTATTTTGTAATAAGGTTCCTGTAATTGTATATCATAATTTTAGAATGTTTTATTTGCATTGCCAACTATATCTTTGTTAAAGGGTTTTGTCTGGTAAAGCTGTACTATCTAGTTAGGATTTTATTTTATACTCTGAATTGTGTTAAATGGTAATTCTGAATTTTGCTTGGTAAAGTTTAGGCTGTTTTTTGTATTACGTGCTTGACGATAGTGAGTTTAGGTTCAGCATTGTTACTAAATGTTGTACAAAGGAAGTTTTATTTCGTATTCTTAAAATATAGTATACAAGTATAATATCTATCCATGTTAAAGGGTTTATCTCTGTGATTTTCCATGCTAAACGGTATTTTGTATATGTTTATGTGCTTGATTCTAAGATAAAGGGTCTTATTTAAAATCTTATATTGTATCTCTCTCTCTCTCTGTGTTCGAAAGTTTATTTTTGTATTGTATGTATCGTATTTCATTTCTATATTTTAACAGTTTGTATACAGATATGACTTAATTGTTTAAGGGTATTCACGTATTTCATTCTTTAAAAGTTGTTAAGTCTGTGAGATATGTAAGTGTACGGAAGCCAGAAAGTGCTAACGCAGTTGTTGACCAACATGATTTGAAAGTTTATTGGTCGTAGATTATAGTTAGTTATCTGCTTGAAATAAGTCTAAGGTAAGGAAAACATAAAATGTTGTCTAGGAGTATACGATTTCTTTTTTCTGTATTGTTAATCATTACTTTGAATTTATTCTTTCTTCTGTATATGTGTAGGTCTTTCATAAAGCACGTGGTCAAGAAAACCATGAAATCGATCTTGTTACTTTCGTTACTGTGTCATTTTAAATGTACATAATACTTCCAACTGCCCGAGGAGAACATGGACTATAGCGACATTGTTTAAGGATGTCGAGAGTCATACTACTCGCTGATAATACAGGGAATATCTAGAGATCACGGACCCACAAATGTGGAATACGAGTTATCAGTCACGTGATATCACAGTCGCGCTAGCTTAATGCGAGGTTTCGGTCCGATGTAAGCAAAGTGCAAGTGCACAAACTGTGTTTATGTTTATCTTATAGTAAAGACTGTTTATTTTGTACATCACTCTTTGTCCAGTCTCGCTATTGCATTAAACATCGACTCACTTGGTAAGATATTTAGTACTACACTATAATTAATATCTTGATCAAATCTCCTGTTTAGCGGATTTATTTGGCGAAGCTAAAACTTATATTCTAAAACGCATGTCTGATATGGCTCGACTCGCAGCCTTCGGGTCGCGGGTTCGATTCCCTTTCAGCCGTGGTGGCGTTATAATGTGACGATCAGTTGTTGGTAAAAGAGGGGATGGTGGGTGGTCTATCACTACTAAATTAAGGATGGTTAGCGAAGATAGCTATCGAGTAGCTTTGCAGGAAAATCAAAACAAACCACTAAAACCCATTCTAATTTTTTTTTATATTAATTTGGTTTCTGTTTCTTCGTTTCACTATTTAAAACAATTTATAATTTAACTAGTCATATTTAATTATATATATTTATATTTTTAAAAAGTATAATAAGTAACCCAAGCAAGTAAATACAGATGTTTGAGCCAATTTAGCTGCATAGTAATTTAAATTGAGGAAATTCCTTTCAGCAAAAGTTTGTAGCAAAAGTATGTGGTCGGTTTGTTTGTTGTTGTAAAGCACGAAGTTACACAATAGGCTGTTTGTGCTCTTCTCACCAAAGGTATTGAAACCCGATTTTTAGCCTTGTAAGCGCGCAGACTTACCGCAGAGCCAGTTTAGTTTGTTTTTTTATTTGAAGTAAAGCACAAAGCTACACTATGGGCTATCTGTGCTCTGGCCACCACGGGTATTGAAAACCGGGATCGAGTGTTGTAACTTACTTGTAAGTCCACAGACATAGCCACTGTAGGACAAAGTATTTATAGGTTTCAAAAAGTCTGATAACCTTACTGACGCCATATTGCTGAATAACTGTGCTGAAAGAGAATTTTTATGGTTAAAATTTATTAAAAAATGACCTGGAAATTTTATACCTATATTTCATTAACAAAGCAAGAAGAAAATATATTTTGTGACTTTAGTACAAGTAACATCTTGACCTGAACTTACTCATGTTAGTATATATTGAATATTAACTTTTTATAGTTTCATAGTCCAAAATCAGAAACCGTTTCAATGTCTTTGCCAAACTGCCGGCGTGGATGAAACATGGAGATTGCTTACAGTTTACCCTTCGCTGTTTTAGAAATACCCAATTTAAAACTGAAAAGACCATCATGGCTTCATCAGCCTTCTGCGATGGTGATGTATTCGTTAGTCCTGGCGTCCTATTTTCTAGTGTGTGGAGGTAAATATTATGTTTGTTTAAAAATATATTTATTCTAATATATTAATAGTTACAATGGCGCATAGTCGACTCATACTATGCCTAACTGCCTCATCAACAGTATTAGTAGTATTAGCATAGGCCCCTAGTTAAAACTTAAATAAAATTAGAAAATAATATTTGTATAGAAAGTAAAGTACTAATAGAATTAATCTGATAGAAAATTATTAAAATGCAGTTAGTCTGTTATTGTTACTTAGTGAGTTACTGTTAGGTCTTACAGAGTTACATTCACAGCAACAATTACTAAATTACTTTAAGTTTAAAGTTTAGGTATTCTCTGGTTTAACATATTCATATTGAAAGAACCCATAGTCCTAGACATTTTCACTGACGCTATCATATGAGTTTATTGTCATGATCATCAATTCTGTATTCTTTGGACGGATTAATTTTCGTAATTTCTTTATTATTTTGTGGGTATGGTCACTATATAGATAGATTAAATTTAATTATCACTAAGGTTACTGGAAGGTCAGAATAATTAAAGTAATCAAAATGGTCACTTGTTAGCTATTAGTATTAGAATGGTTTAATTGATTGTCACAGTAGTGAAATTATTTGTATCACATCAGTGCAGAACTTGAGTAGCATGAGTAATCAGGCATATTTTCAGAAGAGATAAATACTGTTATAACTTACAATAATCCCTAGAAATTGTAATACGAGTAGATTTTTTATGCTACTATTTTTTATATAGTCATTCATTCTTTACCACCTTATTTACTAAAAATAAGAATTTTTCTTTTGTTTAGTTTACATACTGAATGAGGAAAAATTAATGTAGAAGTTTTTCTGCTGATCATAATGAAAGTACAAAATTCTATTCTGCAGTATAAATAAAGCACATTTATGAAACTATTTTGCTTGTGTAATTTGTATATGTTAAAATGTGAAATTATTTTTAAGAAAAGAAAGATTATCCTACTAATTACAGAGACATTTGAAAAAGATTAAGCCATATTTTCTTTTTCACTCAAGAATAAAGTATATATTATTTACAGAAATTCATTTTAGAACAAATACAACATGGTCAATTCTCAGATTTCATAAATGAAGGATATAAATCATTTTTGGAGTAACTGATTAATGGGTCTGGCTTTCAATATTTTTGAGGTTTGAAAAAACCATTGAAAGTAATATTTTATATTTAAAAACATCTTGAAACTTTTTTTTTCAAATGTATATTAGACATCATACTTTGAAAAACTCCCAACATTCTTTATCAGTCCCTTACAGTTTTTCCAAGAAGAAGAATATATAATAGTATTTCAACCACACTATCTTCACCATATCTGTTGCTGATGATATGTTTTTCTCAATATCGGAGTTCATTAGGGTGGCTCATAGTAGTGATTGAAATGATATTCATATAAACCGTCTGTTAGAAACACAATTGTTATGGTGTGAATACTTATAAGCTAAAGAAGCATGATTATATTCAGCATTTTCTTCCAAAGATAATAGTATTAGGCTTACCATATTTTTAAACATTACATTCTTCATTTGGCCCTTTAGGCTTAGGTCCAAAATGGAGGGTATATAATAGTATTTAAACTACCCATTATACATGTGTATATTACATTTTTCTCAATACCAAAGCTCATCATGCTGGCTGGGATACAACAAACATAGTTGTGGTTGGGTCACTTTATGTAAGTCATTTGGTAGGATAACAATTCTTATCATGTGAATGCTTTTAATCTGGCAAATTGTAATTGTACTAAGATAATAGTTCTAGGTTTATTGTGTTCTTTAACACTACATACCTTAGAGGTTTTCTGAGAAGAAGAGAGAGTATAATAGAACTTCAATCACACAGAATAGTTGAAATAATGTTACACACTCTTATTCTTGAATAAAGAATGTAGTGTTAAAGTAAGCTTAAAACTACTTTCTTAAAATATATATATAATTCAGGCTACATTTAGCCCATTAATATTAAAGAACAACAAGGGACTTTTGGTCCATCTAGGCTACCCTATCCATTAAATTAAACACTGAAAAACTCAAAGCCAGCTCTTGTCAGGCCAGGCTTAAAAATATTTTTGTTTGCTGTAACTCTAAACTGATTTAAAATGTGGGTAGGTAGGTAGGTATTTTTTTGTTTCAAATTGGCAAAATAAAATGTCAGAAATACCACTAGTTCTGTTATTACCTAAAACATAATGCATTAAACCATGAATACAATTACTATCAACATTTATTTCATTAAGAGAGTTACAGAAATTTCAAATTCTTTTGCTTCACACACTTGCTGGTCAATATCAACCTCAATCAACGAAGTTGAATTGATTGTTGCCAACAATTTTATGGTTTGTGCTTCGATTTTATCTTGTTTGTCAAGTAAATCTACAAGTACTTCTCTTCATGTGAATAAGTTTTCAATGAGAATTAATTTCTTTTGATCTTAATCCTCAATCTGCGAGAACATTTTTCAGAGTTGGATACACTGAACAGACTTGTGTTTGCCATGATGCTGATGTATGCTTGTCAATAGTAAATTCTCCCCTGCTCGTGTATTTATTAATTTAGTGTGAAGGGTCCTGGGGACAAGATAAGCCATGTTGTCAAACCTCAGTGCATTGGTCAATCATCATTGATCTGTTGATTGGTACTCAGGCGATGCTTTCCCACATAGTTGCGGACTACATGAATTTCCGATAAAAAATATTGTAACCATAATATGGCTATAAAAAAATTTTAATGTCAGCAAATTTTGTAAGGTGGGTCGGTATATGGGCAGAAATTGTTGAAAATAAAAACTTCCCAGGTCATAATGTCAAAAAAATCTCTCGGTTGGTCCCAATTTCAGATGGTTAGTTGGTTTACAGGAAACAGAAATATTTTTAAGCCTGGTCTCATTTAAATATTCATGAAGCATTTCCTTAAACTCCCTTAATCCCTTACCTACTGGGGCCATTTTGTCTTATCATGAGGACAAAATCACATTTGTGAATTGAAAAAAGTTTTAGAGAACTTATCTTTTATTGGATTTCAGTTTTTATTTTTTTAAATAGTAGTATAACATTCAATTATTTGTACAAAATTGTATTATTTAATGACGTTTAATAATAAAATCCCAAAATATGTTTGAGACTATAAATAAGTGCACTCTAAGAAGAAAATGTTTTTCAACATTTAAATATTTTTTTCCTTGCACTTTAGCACTGGTCCTGCCATCTATGATTGGTATTTAAACCTTTTTCTAGTTTGTTTTCTTTATAAAACAGTGTCTGGGCATGTTAAACCTCAGTTGTAAAACTTTTAGCCAATCCTGGTCGAAGTTGTCAAGTTCAGTACCATGTTATTCCAATCGCTGTATTTCATATTTGACAAATCATAGGATGATAAACAAAGCACGTGACAAAACGTTGTTCTCTGGATTTTACAATATGAACATGAAGGATGCTTATTATAGTAACTGCTATTTTATGTGGAGGTTGTATTTAGTATTGGTCAGTAGTACTTTTTTGTAAGCTTTAGAATATTTGCTTCTGGAAATAACTGCATGAGATACATGTGACTTTTATGATTTTTCTATAGTAGCTTAAGTCATGCTGTATTGGATATCTATTTATATTAAACATTATATTGAAAAATTAACTCAAAATATATATATTTTTAGGAAAGATATTGATCCATGAATGTTAAGATTAAGATCTATCAAGTGGCGAGTGCATGGTCTTTACGTGAATTAGGCTTGGTATTTGGACTTGAAAGAGTTTGTGATTTTTTTATGTTCTTTTGAATTTAAATTATTAGTATTAAGTTCAATAATTTAGCATAATTTTATATTTAGTTCATAATAAAAATATGATTCAGTATTTAGAATGATAAACTTGTGTGATTTGTACATACTACTAGTACCACTATCATACCTTTCTTGACTCCCAACAGTTAGAGTCATTTTTGCTCATGACGAGGACTGCTCCTAATAATCCTGTCAATTCTCCCACCTTCATCTTACCCTTACTTTTCCAACATACATATCCTTTCAGAGGCACTCTGCCGATCCTTTTCAGCCCTATCCCTTCACACGTTCATTTACCTTCCCATTATCTTCATGACTTCCGAATGACTTCTTTTCTCCATCTGTTTGCCTTTGGAGATTTTCCAGAGTCTTTGGATTCATTTGTGGTGTCTGCAATTGGGCACCTTCCCATTTTCCTGGAGTATCACTTCCATTGTTCATTGGAAGAAACTATTTAGTCAGGCATGTGGCCTCCACCTCACACATTCATCTCCCACTATCTTCATTGGATAGCTGTTTCTTCTTCATCAGGTTACCACCTTCCAACTGTTGCCATCCTTCAAACTTTGGTGTTGCTGTGACTGGGTAAGTTATCTTTTCTATATATATATATTTCCCTTTAGGGGCATGTCCTATTTAGGATTTGGATCCTGCTCAATGGTGAGCGTTGCCTATCCAGGTGCACTTCCTATATCTCCAATCCACACTGTACAGCCACAATGTATACAAATGACCTATAACACACACTGTTGAGATGGAATGTTTCACAAGATCACTAGTAGGTTTTTCTCATGATATATTTGCTTCCTTAACATGCCAGTTCCAGACTACTAATCATGGACTTACATGGTTAAAGCAAATGGGGATAGCTGCCCATCCATGCTGTCCCATTGATTGAATAAATCAGGGATAGTCTGCTTTTCAAAATATGGTTTCCATGGTCACCAATTGCACTGTCTCCAGTGTTGGCATTCCTCCGGACTCTCCACTGCGTTTTATCCCCCTTGTTCTTCTAGTGGAGTATGGAAGTCCTTCCCAATATCCAGTTCCAAGCTGCTGGGATGGTGGGCCATGGAGGAGTCCTCCTGAATGTGTTCACTTCCATTCAGTAGAGAGTAGGGCAGTGGTGTTCTGCTGATATAGATGGTGTGTGATCCTCCAATCATGTGCTCCACCACCATGAGGTGGGTCCTGGAAGTTGATGTTGTGCCCAGCTTCTGTGTGGTTCTATCCAGAGGATGAAGTTGCTATATATTTCTAGAGGTGATCCATTTCTGTGCAGTGGGTCCTGGAGGGTGGCACTTTGGTCCTATCTGGATGATAATGTTTATCAGGGCAATGGTTTTTCTTCTCACACTCCACCTCAGGGTGTTTTCACTGCCTGAGGTTGATCTTGCCAGTCTGATTGAGTTTGAGTTTAATGTGACCTGCCACATTGGCACATCTCTTCCTACCATCATTCAGAGGTTGGTTTCCCAATTGTGTGGTTGGTTGTGGGTTTGCACACATGTGCCCATTTCATATATTGCTTTGCACAGTATATGCTTTTGTTGTACTTAACATCAGGTGAAGACAATGTGGACCCTCCTCCTACCATGGGTCGGAGGTTCTATTCGCGATGCTGCTTGGTTTTGGACTAGAGTTGACCAGCCGCATATGGTCCATTGTGCCTTAGCCTCTCTACACCTTGGAGCACAGCCATTTGAGCTTTCCCAACATTCCTGTCTGTAGATAGTTGTTCTATGGTATTGAGATTCTGGTATACAGTGGTTTGGATTCCAATCCAACCAGTTTTCTTTTCCTTTTTGGTTGTGCTCCTCCCACTTTCCCTCATACATGTGACACCTATTTCCACACTGGATGCAAAGTATACCTGGTACAGAAGTGGTGCAGTCTCCTATGTGTGTTCTTCTCCCAACAGGGTTCACACTTCATGGGTGTTTTTCAAACATTTTCAAAGGATACTTATTTCTATCCCTCACACCAGTCCCTCCATCTATTCAATGTGGTATCCTAGCTATACATGTGAGAAGAGGTAATGTACTATAAAGGAGATTATTATTTTCCTATACTGAAAATAAATTTCCAATAGGTACCTACCTCCGCTTACACTTCCCACCCTCCTCCCCATTGAAAACTGTTGCTTTCTTTTCTACCTGACCCTGATGCAATAGTTTGGTAGAATCAAATTGAGGGAGTTGCATGAGGAAGGTGTGTTGCACTCCTGTTGGTGGAGGGTTGTCACATGATGATTTACAAATTATCTCTGTGTATCATGAAATGAATGGCAAGTTGAGTGGTTCCTTGTAATTAAAAGTGTTAAATTTATACACCTCATATTAGCTGTAAGATTTGTGAACTGGATGGACAGTACTGAAAAAGACTAACAATGATCATGAAAAAGTGATCCATTGGTACAAGGTCTATTTATGTGTAGTGTATGTATGGGTAGAGTTGGGTGACTAGTAGAATTTTCTAATAGATTAATTTTCAGGCTCATTCAACTAATTGCTTAATGTCGTAAAATGGCTAAAAATAATAGTAATCTATTATTGTTTCCAGAGATAACCAACAAATAAAATCAATATGCTAAAAATCATATTTTGAAACCCACAATGAGCAGATCACAGCAAGCCTATTGTTTAGCTTTGTATTTAACAACAAACAAACATAATGACAATAGTCAGATTACTTGAAGAGATGTAATAATCGAAAACCTTAATTTTGATTAAATGAATATTTTTTTGTGTGTGTTGTGACACTAATTGATGAAGCTGAACAAACTTGAATTTAGCAAAGATAATAACGAAAACTCCTAAGAGCAATAATGGTTGGAGATGGCTTGAATGGGTAATGAAGAAAAACTTTAATATAAGTTTTTCTTCATTACCCATTCAAGCAGTCTCCAACCATTATTAGTCTCAAAGTGGGTTCTTCCCCATCAAATTTGAATTCCTAAGAGCAATGTTTAGATTACTGGATAGTTGGAATAATCAGAAATATTAATTTTGATTATTTTTGTGACATTAATGGTAAGTTTGGTCATTAGATAGTTGGAATAATCAAAAACAGTAATAATCATTCTGATCACAGATTTTGATTAGTTGTCAGTAGTTAATTATTTTTGTCACAGTAATCAATTTAATTGTAATATCAATTGCTGTCTGGTTGGAATGATTCAAAACAGTAATAATTGGAAACACTAGTTAATTATTTTTATGACGCTAATAGATCAAATCGGTGACCGTATATAATCAGTTATATTGATTAACTGAGTTAATTGCACATCTATTTGCATACTTAGAAATATAAAAATATATGTGAATTTATGCATCCTTCCCTTACAAATGTGTGTGAAGGGTTACATTGACATCAAGTATTAAAACTGATTGTGGGAAAATCCATATTATGCCTACTTCATATGGATGTCATTCAAAACTATTGGAGTCTTACTCTGAAATTTCCAAGGAATGTTGATAGTATCACAGCCCACAATTGGTTCTGATTTTGTGATCTTCAATCAAGCTACGTAGACAGAGGTCAAGGTTAAAGATCAACTCTGAGGATAACTTTTGTTTGTTAATTTGAAGATTTTTTTTCTGGAGGTGGGTGGATTGACCTTTAAAATATCTTCAAAATGATATAAGAATCAACTTTCTTGGTTAATGGAACAGAAGGTATGGTCAGTTTAATGATACTTGTCAGCAAATTCAGGTCAAACTTTGATGACACAGAGACCTGAAATTTTGGATCCAAGCATGCCTCATGTAGCTTATCAGTCATGTGAATGCCATGTCGGATGAGTGTGATGTATTGGTGTGAAATTCATCTTAATAGTCTTTTAGTATCTTTTTTATACAAGTGTTGGCTTTAGAATAAAAAAGATTCCCTCTTGTATAAAACTAATGATAACTTTTCAAAAACATTTTACTTTCATTCTACTTATTATTTACTAGAAAGAGTGCAAAGAAAAGCTAATAGAATGATAACTGGTTTAAGAATTTTGAACTATGAAGATAAGCTTAAAACTTTGGACTTGTTTTCAGTGAAATTTACAGGCAACTTATTTCAGGAGCATAATCTTTGCGAGTCTAAACCTACAAGTATGCTTAGTAAAACATTTTTGTTAAGAGTTGTAAATATGTGGAAAGGTTTAGGACTTTGGGCTGTTAGTTGAATTAGCTTTAATTCATTCATACATTTTTTAGATAGGTATGTGGATGCCAAATGTTAGATTCAGCTTTTGTTGGTGTGTTGAGGATAAAAAAGTGGTTTCAGCTGATGACATGACCTTTAATCATCTTGCTTTTTTTTGAAATTCTTATGTTAATGTGAACTACGAAAAAAAAAGTGAAGAATGATATTGGAACATAAGATAATCTAAATAGTAAAGTGTTAAACAGTGTTTCAACAACCAATTCTGATAATTAAGAAGAGGCAGCTAGTCTGATCATTTGGCTAAAATATGAAACAGATCTTTCTTATAATTATATTTTTGTTGAAAAAAAAAGCTGTTTTTCTGAAGTTTGGAGAAAATGTTTTAAAGACCATAGCAGCCATAATGGATTGTCTAGAATGTAGAAAGTTAAGTTTAATGTTGAGAAGTGTAAATTTGTGGATTTAAATATGGAAATTTGGAAAGGACTTGCCTATTATGAGAGAGGAGCATTGATTTTTATGGTAGGGTGTCATTGTTAATGGACACTCAAAGCTCTCTGTGCATTTAGCATTGGTGAAAAGAGCAAGCAAAAATTCTTCATTTTGTTTATAGAAATTTTGAATTTCATAACAAATACTGTTATTTCTCCAAAACGGGGCCGAGGGCAAACTGGAGGGTTCTGTTTTAACTACTCACACCACTATAAGGTAGTGTGTTGTCTGTCAGTCAGTCAATAGATGCTAAAATAACATCGCATAAGGGACATTTGATGTTGCAATTTGTACTGCCATGACATCGATAAAATGTGCGGATGACATGAATCACGAGAAGAATTATGCACTCAGTAGGCTACAACACACATTTTAACAAATAATTGTTACTCTTAATTTTGGTGTTATTTACTCTTGAAACAGAATACTTTCAGGGACCCTGAGAAAGTACACCTAGTTGTATCCTTGTGTTAATGAAGCCTGAGAGTAATGTGTGGTTTTAATCCTGTACAACAGAAAATATAAACTTGTGGAGGTTGTAGATACAGGCTACTAGAGGGTGCTGCCTTATTTAAGTCACACAGAAAAGCTTAATTTTTAGACTGACTTTCACTAAAGCATTGGGGAATAAGATGCCACTCGATTCATTGTTAAAAAATTTGTATGAGTGGTGAAATGTAAATTTGAAATATGAATTTCATTATGAGATGCAATTGAATTGTTTTGGAAAGCTAGATGCAGACTTTCTCTTCATAATTTTCATTTTTATTGGATTTATACATTTGAAGAATGGTTTTTCCTAATGATGAGGTAGGTAGGTATGTGTATCTAGTTTGTTCTATTTTAAATTTGTGTTTGATAGATTTGTGGATGCTACTATCAAATTTAACTTGCGTGAATTTGTTTTATGTTCTCGGGCCTAATGGCCTTCTGCTACCCCGCATTTTTTGAAATATAAACCATTTTACACAGTTAAATTTTGGCGTAAAGTTATTAAAAATGTTTATGATCGTTGCTCTTGACATAGATAGTAAAATGATGTAGTATACGATATCAGTAAGAAAGCATGCATATGAATAGGTTAATAGCTCAGCTATTCATACAGCTCAAAAATATTGATGCCAAAGTCTGAGTGGCTCACTGAATTTGCAATGTGTAATGAAATATCTTGCAAATGTTTTCAAGAATTTTCTGTTTTACAAACCAAAGAAAAGAAGTGTTCTCAGTCAAATAACCATAAAGTTCTTTGCCTTTCTCACATTTTTTGGTTTTTAATTTGTTTTAACAGGTATCATTTATGATGTGATAGTGGAACCTCCCAGCATAGGATCAACAGTAGATGAGCATGGACACTCCAAACCTGCAAGTTTCTCTTTTGTTAAATACCTTTTTTTTAAAAACCACACTTATTATAATATAAAAAACTAATAAAACAAGCATTTGGAAATGTGTTACATAGATACATGGTACCAAAATAAGCATTGAAATTTCAGTTGTAAAAGTATAGAAAATTAACAGTTTTAGAAATTACTTTTGGTAATTTATATTTTTGTGAGTTTAATTCCAAATATTAAGTATTAAAGCTGGAACTAAGAAATTATAATTTTGAGTTTATAGCAAAATATAGTTTTAAAGTAAAGAAAAATTTATTCAAATATCCAACATTATCTGTCACAAAAGAAAGTACTGTTGACAGTGCGAACTCAGTAATAGTGTTTCAAGACCATTCTGCAATGCATTTTGTAATGAATTGAAACTTTTCATTTCTCGTGATTGAATAAAAAAATTAGCTGTGAAAAAGTTACCATGAAATTTATAATTAAGAAGATTTCCTGCAATCTGCTTATGACTCAAAAGTTTGTAGACTGGGCCCAGCCTGTGAAAGAAGTCCTATAAATTGGTCAGTATTTCAAACAAGATGAAAAGAGATGTTGCTGGCATAAATAGCATGAGCAAACAGACAATTAGCATTTCTTTTGGCCAGGCAGAACTTAATTTATATAATACTTAGTAATGCCAGTCTGGACTTTGCGATCTATATGAAATGGAAAGTGATACAGAACTTAAGTAAAAAGTGATTAATTCCTTCCTTCATTCACTCCTAGTATCAGTTTCATGGTCATAAAATTCAATAGGTATGCTTTTATCTCGAATAATTTAATTCCTGCTGCAGTAATATATGGCAAAGGTGTCACAGCGTGGTTGGTATTGTTTTTCACCTGGTTCTTGAACTCTCTTCTTATTGTCAATGAATATGTATGACAAGAGTTTAATAAATGTTTATTGTATGGTCAACATGTGTCACCTACTCAGCTGATTTATCATATTGGTAGCAAGTAAAATTCTTAAATTTTCATTAGCATTTTTTCAGATTGACTGCTAATTTGCCAAATATCAGTACATATTTTAAACTCAGAAATGCAATTAAAAATTTTAATCAAATGGGACAGTTTTAAATTTGCTTGCACTGAATAAAGTTGTAAAGATAATTTTACAACATAACCGTTCCAACAGCAATAACATTGCACTAGCTAAAACACAAACATCCGAATAAAAAAGTATAAATCTTGATTAAATAAATGTTTTAATGAGAAATATTTGACATTAACTAATCCTAGTGTAATCTTGTACCTGCTATCCTAGTCATTTATCATTAGTCTGAAGTTTAAGTACGCTGGCATTACATGTTCTTGTATAAGTTTATTGAATCCATAACCATCCAACAGCAATAACAATGCGCTAGCTAAAACAAACATCTAAATAAAAAGTATAAATCTTGATTAAATAAATGTTTTAATGAAAAATATTTGACATTAACTAATCCTAGTGTAATCTTGTACCTGCTATCCTAGTCATTTATCATTAGTCTGAAGTTTAAGTATGCTGGCATTACATGTTCTTGTATAAGTTTATTGAATTGGTTTCGGTTTTATTGGGTTAATTTTAAGTAGAAGTTGTTTCAGTCTTGGTTAAAAAGTGTTATTTTGGTCACTGTTATAATGAGATATTATTTTCCCATTTTTAATTTTGTAAAATATATTTAATGTACATTACTAGGGAACATTAATTTTCAATAGTATGGACAACTGTTTTTTTGTCACAGATTCAGTCTTTATTTTAGTAGTAACTCCTACCCACAGTGTTAGATCTTAAAAGCTTGGTGTATTTGAAAAACTACAATGTTTAAATGTTTTCTTTACATCCAGAAATCCTGAATTGTTGTGTTTATGGTTGAAAGTTACCAAACAAATGATTAGATGTGTTTTTTTTTTATCCTCAGGTTGCATTCATGCCCTACAGAGTAAATGGACAATATATTATGGAAGGCTTAGCTTCCAGTTTTCTGTTTACTATTGGAGGTTTGGGATTTGTTGTTTTGGATCAGACCCACAACCCAAGTACACCACGGCTGAATAGGATTCTTCTTATCTCTGTTGGTTTTGTCTGCATCTTAGTTTCTTTTTTTACATGCTGGGTGTTCATGAGGATGAAACTTCCGTAAGTGTTCCTTCAGTATACTGTGATGAGTAACAATAACTTCATAGACTTGTTGACTTATAAATTTCATTTTTCAGAAGACTACCATACATATTTTATTGAGTAGGGTGAGTTAATTGAGAAATTTAAAATTTTAACAAATGAACCAGTGAAATAGCTTTCGAACTTAAAGGTCTCATCATTAGAAGCAGTGCAGATAATTTTACAAATACTATTAATTATTTATTTTTAACATTTTCACTGAATACTGCTGTGCTGGTGGATGTCAAATAATTTTTGGTGTTAAATATGCCCTTGAATGAAGTGGTTGAACTTTCTTCTTCAGATCTCAGATTGTATGCAAGTTGTGCACATAGACCTTTAACATAATACTCCATTCAAAATTATGTGTAAATGCTCGTAATTATCTGTAAATAATTAAGACTAATTAAACAACTTAATAAGCAATTGTGGTATTAAATAAAGATGCTTAAAACTTTTAATTTCAAGTGAAGGAAGTTGCATTATCCGTAGGTGATTTCAAAATGATTATTGCAATTGTTAATCATTAATAGAATTAAATGATCATAGCATATACATAAAATGATGCATTCATTCTCAATCTTTGAAATACTGAGAATGTTTTGAAGTATAAACACAGGTATTACAGTGATAGGATTGGTTTGATATAAAAGTAAAATTTCTGCTGTACTCTAATATGGATGTTATTTCTTTATTGATCCCATGATGCATCTGTTTAACTTCAGAATCATAGTTTACTTAGTGCTTCTTACTTAATATCAAAAGATGTGTGCATTTATTTGCTCAAGTAACAAGGTTTATGATGAGGGTTGTAATATTACCTCTATTCTTAAATACTTTAGATAGTTTGACACACCAGCTCTCCTGTACTACTACCACTGACACAAGCATTGAGTAGTTTGTGTCATAAATCATTAACAAACAAAACATAGAACTGTCCTACTATATTACAGATAGCCAAGAATACACTTATACTGTTTTTCATAATGTTACAAAAAAACTATTTCTATAGTAAGAATAGAAAAAATACTTTTTTACTTTTAGTATTTTAACTTTCTAACCTCCAAGAATTTTGTTGTTGGAATAATAGCACCAGTTATAGTAGAATTTACTGCATCTACATTGTTTTAGACGGTTTCTTTTTAATAGGCTAAATAACCTGGAATTGTCGATAAGTTTTGATCTGTATTTATTTTGGGAGTATTTTATTGTTAAGCCTTTGGTGATATATAGGAAAATCGATTATCAAGTTTATTGTTTATGAAAGTAGGTATAGAGATATGAATGACAAAGTCGTTTCCTTATCCATATTCTATTAGTTACTAACATCAAACAAGTTCAGCCTACAAACAGATGATGTGGGTGGAAAAGAAAGTTACAGTGAGAGATCATGCTTAATGGCTTTGTAAAAGCATATAGCTGTGTGTTATACACTATTACAACTTATAGTATCATTTGGTTTCAAAACAGATACATTATGTATGTATGTATACCTTTATTTATTTAAAATCATATTTATGGAGGTGTTGTGTATGTCTTGAGTGAGATCTTACTTTAGGTATGTTTATATTTTCATTTAATAACAGATATGGTTTAACGGATACCCAATAATCAACCTATCACTGTAATATTATGTAAATGAATGATATCTTTTGAATGTTTTGAAGGAAGAATGTGAGGACATCAACATGTTTTATGCTTCAAAGCCAAGTGATTTCTTTAACCAGGGCATTAACAACCTGATTGTAAGATGGAAAAGCACCATTGATAAGAATGGACTATTTTCATTAAATAAATGTTTTGTTTTGATATATAAGCTGTTCAGGTTTTTTTCATCTAAAAAAAAGTGACATTATTTCTTGACGACCTAATATATGTTCCTTGGTGTGCATTACTTTGGTTTATAAAGATGATTAGTATCTTAATGGCCAAATTGAATCTGTTTGTCAAATCTCAATTTTCTACTGGGACCTACTTAGTATTTGAAGAGAATATATATAAGCCCCCCACCCCAGTGGGTAAATTACAAGTTTATGAACTTACAGTTCTGAAATTTGGGGTTCAGTTCACTGCAGAGTGCACTAAGAAAACAAGAACAATATTTATATACAAATAGATAAATTTCTAGAATACCTAAACAAATTTATTTCTTGTCATCACAAACAGAATTAGCAAAAATGTGTCTTGAAAATTCAAACCTCACCATATATTGGGTAACCTTTTAGCCTTTGTGCACAGATACTAGTGCTTTGCCCACTTTTACACTCTCAAATCATGTAGTTCATATAAAAACGTAAAATATAGTGCAATCTATTCTACTTCAAATTCCTATAAGAGAAAACTTTTGTTATAATTACTTCATTGATTGCAGCAATTCTGACATCATTACATTTTAATCAAATTTGATGTTATGCCCAACTCGTGTATGGAAAACTTCTTTCTGAGTTTAATACTATCACAGTTTTATGACAGTTGAAAGTAAGGTCAAATAAAATGTAACAGTGGATCATTGCTCGGTAAAATGTTCAAATATATTTTAATCAGAGTTGTAGACTCGAGTCATGCGACTTGGACTTGAGTCTGACTCGATTACAATTTTTTTTTGCTTGGTACTCGGACAGAATGACTTGCCCATTATGACTTGTGACTTGATTTGAGACTCGATTCTCAAAACATGTGCCTACTGTCCAAAATACACAGGAACCTGGATGGGTAATAATAATAATATCATTATTATTGTTGTGTAGTCATCACTGTGTGTTATTGTTTTGTGTACAATCTTGATATCCCAATAGTCTTGAAGCACCAGTATTAATGTAAAACCTGTTTCAACTTCATCTTTATTATGCTGGCCAAAAACCCATGCTTACAACTGCATTGATGTCATATTTTCTAAATTTTCTTTGAAACTTAAATTAATAATTGATATCTGGGTATCAAAACAAGCTTGAGTCAGGTAATTTAAAGCAGACACCTGAATTTTCAGGCCTGTGCCAACCTGTTGTTATTTTTTGTAAGGTTCATAATTTTTTTTAAAGGGATAGATAGTATTCTTGTCTTTCAAAGCTCATGTTTTTCACTTCAGTTGCTTGATCAGTAGGGCCACATGGGTTTTATGGTTCTTTGCCTTTCTATTTATATAACAGAGTATTTAAAACTTAGTGTTATGAATTCTTATTACATCTTCTACAATTTTTCCACTAAATATGGCCATGTGCATTAATCCATAATATTTTTACCTTTGATGATAGTAAAATATTACAGTGATATATAATTACAATTTATGAGCACTTTTAGCTTTCAACTATAAAAGAAACTCAAAAAGGTTTTATGAATGATTCCTAAAGTATCTTTTCATATGATATTTAAAACATCAGTCTGTTCAAGCACTTTTTATTCTGGTTTCAAAAATACAATCTCTGTACTTTGGTGTTACTTAGATTATTAATATTTTATGTTACTGTTGTGGGTTAGATTATGCATGATCAGAAATTGCTGTTTCTGATATGGTATTTCCTTCTGCTCACAAGATTGGTTTTTCCCGTTTTGTGCTGCCCTCTATATGCAAACTTTTTATAATGTATGCCACAAACCTTCTGCATCCCCTATTGGAATCAAAGATTTCAACATGTTTCTCATGCAAATCATCATGTGTCATCTTTCCACCAATAGGAGAGCACTACTATCACGTGATGCATGTGACTCCTTCTATGCGCCACAACCGAAACATCACTTCTTGTTTGGCAGTGCTTGAGTTCATTACTTCTTGAATTGGTTTCACTTAATTTCATTTACTTCATTTCAAAAATTTTTTTTCCGCTCTATTTTTGAAAGCGTTTGCTTTACCTGTATTTTGCCACCAAAAATTTCGCCTGTTTGTGTGGTATCAAAGATGAATTCCAAAGTTAACGTTACCACTTCGGATACATCTCATTCATTTGATGCCATAATTCGGGCCACAGATGCAGGTGATCTATTGTGGGATTTATCGGCTGTTATTTGCAAGGAGAGTGAGCTTTATATGGGATAACCTTTGTCTCCTGCTGAGCCTTTCGAGCCAGGCCAGGCTGATGAGGATTTTGTTTGTCCCCCCCCCCACACACACACACCGGATTTTGCCATGCCTTCCCAAACCCTACCTGAGGATTCTGTTCGGCCCTTGTTGGCTTTCTCGGATTTTATTTCTCAGGTATGTGATGTTTTACCCTTAACATAGGGTGGACTGCCAATATCTGGACCAACAATTGTTGGGTTCAGTTTTGCTTGTTTGGGAGGTGGGAATGGAATCTCCCATTCATCTTACCAATGTCCAGTATTTCCTTCTTCATCTTACCCTGACGACTCTTTTTGTGTTGCCTCTTTGTGATACATCTTCTGCCTGAGGCTCTTCACAGGACCCTGTTTTTTTTTTCTGTGGATGTGCTCTCCCTCCTCACTTCCACATTGGCTTGCCTGTCATCTTTGGCTCTGGCTCTGTAGATCTGGTTTACTTGTTGTTGTTGGGACCTTTTTGGTCATGATGCCCTATTGTCATGGCCCCTGCTCCTTATCTACGGGACCATTAGATGACCCCGTTTTTGAGACGTTTCATGTTTGACACGATCCTGGAATCCTTGAAGTCGAGGGTATCTTTGATTGAACAACAATTCACCCTTTTTTTCATCTGGTTGCCTTTTTGTCCCAGTTGGAGCTGAGCGTGGCATTGATTCCTGTTTTATTACCCTCCCCTTCAGGGCCTTTGCCTGTTCCTCCTTCCCGCAGTGCCACTGTTCGTCGTTTGTCACGACGACTCATGGTACACCAACAACGGTTCAGGTGACTCCCTGGTGGGAGCTCGTCTGGCGACCTTTGTTTATTGGTGGATCCCTTTCATCTCTGATGTTTGGGTTCACCAAGTTTTGTCAGAGGGATTCATCATACCCTTCCTTCCTTGTCCCGTGTGCCTGCTTCCTTTCCTTCTCTTTGGGTTCCTAGGTCATGCCAGCGTCTGTACGAGACAATGCAAGACCCCCACACACAACATACTATCAAACCTGCCCCATATGGTTCAGGGTGGTTTTACTCCCATGTGTTTGTAGTTCCCAAACGGAACTGGAGGCCGGTCATCGACCTGTCCCGCCTCAATCAATATGTTCATACCCCACGCTTTGGATGATCAAGATGGATGTCTTCAATGCTTATCTGCATATTCTCATATTAGAGCATTCTCGTCCTTATCTTTGGTTTGTTCATTGTAGGGTGATGTGCCAACTTCATGCCTTACCCTTCGCGCTGGCTTTGGTGATGTATGTTTTCTGTCAGGTGGTGCGAACCTTTGCTCTACATCTTCATGCCCTAGAGTTGCGCTTTGACTTTTACAGGATGATTAGCTTCTTCTCACTCATTTTGAATGGGAGTCAACTGTCATACTCGTTCTTGAAGCTGCTTGGGTGGGCTGGTTGATCCTACCCAGTACCTCGTTCATTTAAGAGTTTTCTTTAATTTTCTGAGATTATCAGTCAGGCCCAACTTTCTCCTCTCCAGCTCTGTTCTCTGGAACTGGCCATTCGGAATGCCCTGTCTGCTCTTTAACTTTTCGCTTGTGAGGTTCTGTCGCTCTTTAACTTTCTGCTTGTGAGGTTCTGTTGCTTTTGGGGACATGGTCTTCTATGATTCCTCTCATACCCCTCAGTCTGGCTCATATGTGATACCTTCAATGTGTCCTCCACAACCAGTGAAACGTTGCTTGGTGTCCCTTGGATGCTCTATAACCCTTCCTTCCTACATTGTCCATGATCCCTGATGGTGGTTGGACAAGACTTATACATCGGCAGGTGTCCCTGCTTCCTCTTCCTTGTCTAGATTTACACCTGTTTACGATTGCATCCCTTCAGAGCTGGGGTGCGTGAGTCAATCACCAGGAGGCTTTGGATCATTGGTCTGTTGGGGAATGTTCTCTTCATATCAACATCTTCAGAGATCATCTGGTCATGATCCATTCCAACAGTTCAACAGTGGTGGCTTATATCAATCACCAAGGTGGCACCTGGTCAAGATCCCTGTGTTTTCTAATATTTGATATTCTCCTTTAGGCCCATGATAATCACATTCATTTGATGGCATGTCAGGTACCGAGTGCTTTCAAACCTTGTGGCAGATCCTTTTGCCAGACCCAACCAGGTTTACCTGAGGGAGTGGTCCCTTCATCCACCTGTTTTTTGGGGTCTTTGCAATTGGTGGGGTATTACTCGAATAGATGCATTTGCCACCACCCCCAATCACCAGTTACCTTTGTTTTGTGTTCCCCATTCTCGGTCTTTGACTGCAGATGCCTTCAGCCAGGATAGGTCAAACAAGTTCCTTTATATTTATCCTCCTATCCAATTACTTCATCAATACCACTCTGTGCAAAGTTCTTCTGATTGTTCCTTACAGGCCCACTCGTCTGTGGTTTCCTCGATTACTCCAGCTACAGTTGTTCCCTCTCGTCCCTCTTCCTTTATCCCCGACCTTCTTCATCAACCCCAGTTGCTGATTCTACATCCCTCACTTTCCGTCCTCCATCTTCATACCTGATTTTGTCCGGTCCCTGGCGAGGAGATCTGGTTTCTATGTCGGGTGGCATTTCATATAGCTCATTCTGTTCGTACTTTATCCATGACTGTGTATCAGTGGACATGGAATATTTTTCGCACCTGGGTATCCCAGCTTCTCATCCTATGGTTGCTGGTATTTCTAAGTTTCTTATGTGGCTTTTTGAGAAGGGATTTTTGGTCTCCTCGATATCGGGTTATCAGGCAGCCCTATCTCATACTTTCCATTTTTCTAGTTACCACAGGGTCTTTCTTTCCCCTGTCCCTGCCATTTTGATCTGTTTTTTCTGGATACATGGTACTCCCTTAAGGCATATTTCCTTTTCCTCTTGGCTTGTGGGCATCGTCGGTTGGAGCTGTTTGCTATAGACTTCACTTGCACACTGTACCAACAAACTTATTTTCTTTTTTACCTGGATCATTTCTTCCTTCCCAAGACCTCGGTGGTTAGCGAGGGTAACTCCTCCTTTTTATCCATTTCCCTTCCCTCTGTTTCTTGTCTCTACCCTCGTTCTGTTCCGGATAGACTTCTGTGCCCATTGCATGCCCTTTGTTGTTATATTGCCCTTACGGCTTCCTTCAGGGGTTCCCGTTCCCGTCTTTTTATCCCATCTCTTTATCGGCGTTTGTAGGAGATTCTGCAGTCGGGCATGTGGAACACCCCTCAGATGTTCATCTCCCATTACAACATCACTTTGCAATTTCTACTTCATTGGGGTATCGCCTACCACCTGTGGCTATACTTCAGACTTTGATGTGGCTATGACACTAGGTAAGTCTTTATTAACACTTTCTTTACTTTCAGGAGCCCTTGCTTCGAATTTAGTCTCTTGGATTCCATTCTGTGGCAAGTGGTGCCTGACCAGGTATTCTTTACATACACAAACAAATTTGAAATGTACACCATGTTGATTTGCAAGCTTTTTCCATGGCTCCATATGCTTACCTTGAGATGCAGTGTTTCACAAGATCACTGGATGGTCAATAACCTTGTGATATTTGCTTCATAAATAGGCCCGTTCTGGACCGTACCACCTATAGATGGCATGGGTAAAGCAGAAGGGGATAGCTGCTCATCCCTGCCATGCTTCAATTGAATATATCAGTGTGGTCTACTTTTCAAATTAGGGTTTTATGATCACCCATTGCACTGTCTCTGGTGTAGCTGTTCCTCCAGACTCTCCAAAGCTCTCTCCCCTTCTTCCAGTGGAGTATGGGAGTCCTTACCACTTGCCAATTCCAAGCCACTGGGGTGGTTGACCATGAAAGCATCCTGCTGGATTGGTTCCACATAGATGGCTATAACCACTCAGTTCAGAGGAGGGCGATGGTGTTCTGCCAGTGTAGTAGCCGCACCATCCTCTGGATTGAGTGACACACACACCACGGACTGAGATGTTTCAATGCAGTTAACCCCTTTGATTGGGTACCCTCATTCTACCATCGCACGGATGTCGGTACGCCATGATATTGGATATTGAGTGAACCAATCAACTTAAATCCTCTCACAGGCTTGGAGTTGTTCATCATCCTCCCTCGATTCTTCCTACGTGGGATGCTTCTGTCCTGGGCACTCCCTCGTTCTCTTTTGCTTTGCAAGGGGATGTTATTGACCTTTGGACGTTTCAGACCAGTCTCACGGTTGCGAGAGTTGATTGCATGCGATGGACTTTCCTCAGATACTGGATGAGACATTCCCGGATCAGGGCTCAATACTAATCCTGTGTCATACCCTGGAGTCAGTATTTTCCTCAAATCCACGATTTTAGGGCTTGAGATGAAGCCAGTATTATCTTCATCCTACTCTTGCAAGGATGTCAGTACCTAGCGAGAAGGTTTTACATGTAGTTGACTTACTGAGTACGGTTCGCCACGTCCTAGCCATTTTACACCATGGGACACATCCTCCATTACCCACTTCTGTGGGATTGGGTTTCTATATTTATTTGGTTGGGATCACTTTCCTGACTTATCCTCTCCCACTCGGATGTGCTCCCTTCATTTTACACCATAGTTGTTCCTAGCTGTTCTTGGCGAGGAGATACCTGGTTCAGAAGTGGTGCAGTGCTCCTCCTCGGCTCATCTGATCTGTTTCTCTCATTTACAGAAGTATTCTTCGGATGCTTTCAGGGGGTATGTCTGTTCTTCCATCCCAACAGTCCCTCCTCCTTTTCAATGTGGAATTCTACCTAATCTTGTGAGAGGAGGGAAGTACCGTATCGGAAGCTATAATTTTCCTATACTGAAAATGTATTTCCTATAGGTACTTCCCACCCACCTCCCCACAATTTTCCAGTACTTGCGTCTTCTACCAAACTTCGAAGTGGCGCATTGGGGGAGTCACGTGATAGTAGGGCTCTTCTATTGGTGGAGAGATGACGCATGATGATTTGCATCAGAGACATATTGGAATCTTTTATTCCAATAGGGGTGTGGAAGGCTTGTGACATGCGTTATAAAAAAAGGTTCACATATAGAGGGCAGCACAAAGCGGGAAACGCTAATCTTGTGAGAGGAGGGAAGTACATTTTCACTATAGGAATATTATAACTTTCTTGTGTTTGTATGCTTCTGTAGTCCAGCATATTCTAATGTTTACCAGCATCTTAGCAAATGATACAGTGGTGAATCAATAAGCACATGTTATATAACATGAACTCGGTGTTAACTTCATATGCTCATTAACTTTTGTTTATTCTGTGAAAGTAAATATCAAATATTTCATAAACAGATATATTTAACATCATATGGTGTAAAATACGTTAGTCCTAACAAGTGGCAACTTTAAAAAAATTGTCACTTGACATTTTCATAGAAAATTAATTTAGATCTATCATATGAGTAGCAGTAAGTTACACCAAGATTTGATTATTTCTATTTAAATATTCTGACATTTCATACAAACATGTATAACTCAAGCACTCTACACAAGTTAATAAAGTTGGTTAGTTACTCAGATAACATTCTTAAATTTTAATATTATTTTTCAGCAAGGTTCATTATTTTGATATTGTGTTTCTCTTTCAGAGGCTATTTGCAGTGAAGAGTAAGCCAAGAAAGTCAAGCTAAAACTCAGTATGAAGTAATGGAAGATATACACAAAACTATTACATATTAAGTCATATATCTAAATTCTGTATGTTGAAATAAGCCAGTTTGTATAATTAGATAATAAAACGAATTTTCAATTTTTTTTTTCTGTGTTTATTTTATTGGTACAAGTTCCTCATTCATTATTAATCCCTTGTAAGCAGCAATGATTCTTTCTTTCATTAATCTCGCCCCCTAGTGGCACAGCGGTATGTCTGCGGACTTACAACGCTAGAATCAGTGTTTCGATGCCCATGGTGAGCAGATCACAGATAGCCTATTGTATAGCTTTGTGCTTAATTACAAACAAACCATTAATCTGTATGGAAGAAAAGTTAATTTATGATTTTTAGACGTTTGATATGTTACTTAAACATTTTTTAACGAGCAGAATAAAAAATCAATCGTATTGATAAAAGCAATTATAACAAACACATTTTAGTCGAGTTTGATGCTCTACTCATTCTTGTACTCGGAGCAACCATCTTGCCCCCCAGTGGCACAGTGGTATGTTTGCGGATTTACAACGCTAGAATCCGGGTTTCGATACCCATGGTGGGCAGAGCACAGATAGCCCATTGTGTAGCTTTATGCTTAATTGCAAACAAACAAGCAACCATCTTTTTAAAAAAATAAATAAATGATAGTGTTAGAAGTTAACAAAATTCAAACTCTTGAGGATTATTGTAGGAAATTCCTTTTCTGGTAAAGAGAATGTCTTAGCAAGAAGACTGAAAACTATGAACTCTACATAAATATGGACTTCAATGAGATGTTATCATAATAAAGACAAAAATTGCTAAGAGTAATGAAAAGTGTCAGGTTTTATGTATGAGTCGCATTCTTTACAGTGGGTGTCTGTAACTTGCTGGCGATAAATTTAAACAATGAACAAATAGAATGCAATCCACTTGTTTTAAATTAATATATTAAAACAAGTCAAACGGATATACAAATATTCGTTACACTCTTGGTTATCACAGTATATCCAGAGCTTTAAATAATTGTCACTTTTGTTTCGTCAAAGTCCACATAGGCAGGTTCAGTTACTTTAGTACACAATTTGGCAAGACGAATTATTCTTCCTGCTCTGTTATTATAATATAGTCTGAGATGATTTCACCTTAAAATCACCACTATAACCGTTGGTTAAGATAGTTGTATCCAGAGCTTTAAATAATTGTCGGCCCGGCAATGCCAGGTGGTTAGGGCGCTCAACTCGCAATCTGTAGGTTGCGGGTTCGAATCCGCGTCACACCAAACATGCTCTACCTTTCAACCGTGGGGCGTTATAATGTGATGGTCAATCCTACTATTCGTTGGTAAAAGAGTTGGCGGTGGGTGGTGATGACTAGCTGCCTTCCCTCTGGTCTTACACTGCTAAATTAGGGACGGCTAGCGCAGATAGCCCTAGTGTAGCTTTGCGCGAAATTCAAAAACCAAACCAAATAATTGTCTCTTTTTTTCGTGAGTAACACAGACTGGTTTGAACACTTTAGAACACAATTGTCATGATGAATTATTCTTTGTACGATACAGTCTGTGACATTTTCACTTTAAAAACGTCATTGTATGCTTTTTATGGCTAAGCTCACAATCACGCAGTCTAGATCTATATATTTTCTTTTCCTTTTACTTAATTTCCTCACTCGCACTAATTTGGTTGCCTCGATATATATTGCCCGACTGAGGCCTAGAACTTTATACAAATTACGAGACGTTATGATGTAATAATACTCACTTAAAGCAACGAAAAAACTTCAGAAGGCTCGAGTAACATGACGTCAATTCACAACAATTAAACTATTCAACAAATGATTCATAAACAGTTACATGAGCAAAATTGCCATAACTATCATTTCTAACATAACTTACTTTAGTGCTCACTCAATATAAGCTAAATAATACACTCATATTAAAGTTAAATTGAACAGTCATGCATATCTGACAATAAGCACCTCTTCAAGAAAAATATTTACAACATTTTCTATATTATATACAAAGAATGTTCTAAGTTTATGCACAAAGTCTTCTCATACAGTCTGCATTAACATTTACAGTCTCCTTTACGGCCACAGTGCAGAACCGGTAGTTCTGTAGATACTATACCCACCTCGTGATCCTTGCACTGTGGATTTTGCACCTATATATGTATGCAAGGGCCTGATGTTCCGTGTGGATGATGAATTCATTCCTGTAGAGGTAGTTCTGGAACTTGCAGATGACAAATATGATGGCCAGACACTCACGTTCTTCTCACTATTCAACAACATTATAGTTACATACATTACTGGAAACAGGCCGTCTTCATGTTCTTGTAGGAGTACTGCTCCAATGTCTGAAGTATCGGCTTGAATGATGAATCGTTTGTTGAAGTCTGGAATTCTAAGGATTAGCAAACTTCCTAACATGTTCTTTAACCTCTGAAATGCCATCTGCTGTGATTGTTCCAACTTCACCTTGTTGGGTAGGCCTTTCTTGACCAGGTCAGTCAGTGGTGCAGCAACTTCAGCATAGCATGGGATGAACTTCCTGTAGTATTCTGCTAACCTCAGGAAGGATCTGACTTACTGTTTGGTTGTTGGAGCTGGTGCATCTTCTATATGGGTTAGCCTCTCTTCTTCCATGACAATCTGTCAATCACCCAACTTATATATTTAAGTGACCAAGTGAAGTTAAGATAAATAAGTTAGTTAGTGAAAGAAAACGTGAAGTAAGCTGGCGTGTGAGTGATTAGCCTTAATGGATTATTTCTATAGTGTGTTTCACAGCTATATTGTAACAAAAGAGACTGGAAAAATAATTGGGTTCTAAAGTAACTGAACAAGCCTGTGTGGAGTTTTGGCGTATAATAGAATTATTTAAAGCTCTGTATACAACTGTGATAACTCACAGGGTAACGTAAATGAACTCATCACTAATTATATTGTTGCAACAGAAAAAAAAAGAGAATTATTTAGAATTTTAGATACAGTGTGATATCCTATAGTGTAAAGAATGTTTGTACATACATTTGACTTGTTTTGAATATATTATTTTAGAACATGTGAATTGTGTTCTGTCCGTTTATTGTTCGATTTTATTGCCAACAAGTCATAAATATCTACTGTAAAAGAATCCCAGCCCATATTCAAATACATACCTACTGCAAACAGGTCCCAATCACGTGATCTCTCTTGGCACACTTTTTCAAAATACTCTTTACGACTCCTTGACCCTCTCACAAAGTCAATCACATCTGGGATTGCAAGGGGTGGTAAAGAGTTCCCTAATGTTGGTGAGTCTGCACACCTCTTGCATCAGTTCTGAAGTACACTGGGCCCCTCTGTTACTCAAGACTTCTTTTGGAAAGCCTATTCTGCAGAACACTTCCAGAAAGGCTTTGCTAATCTCTCTGTCTCTATGTTTGGTAATGCTATGCCTTCTGGATAATGTGTTGCTTAGTCAACTACTGTCAACACATACCAGTTTCTCTTATCGGATACATGTGCTAGTGGTCTAATCAAGTCCAAAGCTACTCTTCTGAATGGCTCTTCTATGAGAGGCGTCTCACCCAGTGGCATCTTGGCTACATTTCCTCTAGGTATTGTCCTTTGGTAGATGTCACATGACCTGCAGAATTGGGTCACATCTCCAATGATCTCCAGCCAATGAAAGTTGCTGGTGATTCTTTCTGTTGTCTTCTTTGCTCCTAAGTGTCCTCCCACAACCGACTCATGAGCCAACTTCATCACTTGAGTCTGGTATTCTGTTGGTACTATGATCTGTTTAACTTCCCCAGTAGAACTGCCTTGATAGATCTCGTACAGCACTCCCTTGCAGTTCTCTATTCTATAACTCCCTTTCCTCTTGTTGGTGTGCTCGACTTTCTCCCAGCCACTATCCCAAAGTGTCTGCAGTGAATGATCTTTCTTCTATGCTTCCTTCAGTTCCCATAGACTTGTAGGGGCTTGATGCCCTGGTTGCTTTTCTTTTCTTGATTTTTAGTGGTGACTGCAGATGCTTCATCAGTCTTCTTTCTGTCTGGTTCCTCCAAACTTCTACTGCCTGGTATATTTCCAATCGCCACTTGCAAGTTTGTATAATTCACTCAGCCAAACCGTCTGACTAAAGATGATACTATGAAATCAAAGAATTAAAGCATTTCGAACTCACCCAAACTCTGCAAACAAATGTCTGTGGAATTTTGTTTATTGATCCACATAGGTTTTACCAGTTGCTTCACTGTTTAGCTAACTTATCTGGTGGACTGTTGAAGTAATAAGCTTTGGTCCACTTGGTAAGGTATGTGATAACAACTAGCACATATCAGTTGCTGTTATTCATCTCCAGGATAAGACTAGTAATATCTTCTTATATATATTAACTGAGAGCTCAAACATCCTTGGTAATGTGGAGTTCACAGTTAAGATCAGCCCTGCAAGATAACATGATAACATCCATGTTATCTCATGGCCCTGCATCTTTTCCAGACTCCAGGCTGCTCTTGACATCTTTAGCCCTATCTTTTCACCCAATAATCACCAGTTTCCTGGCAAGGTGCCTACCACTACATTTGATGGTAATTCATCTCCTGATGGAATTCATAATCCAAGGGCTGCTTAAGCCATTCTCTGGTTGCTAGCAAATGGCGTCATTTGATTGTCCTGGTCTATGACCACATTTAGAGCCTATAGGAACTGCCTCTGTCAGTTCTATGGCATTAAGATAATTCGTTACCACGGTAATCAATTGTAATGTCACTCTCTCACAAACTCAACGTAACCATGAGAGGTCAAGCAGATTATGCGGTTCTGAAACGCTTTCCTTTTTGCTGCTTGACTCACTGGTCCTGAGATCATATCAAAAATGCAGATATGGTTCTTTTCACTTGCAAGGTCAAGAAGGGGACCTTTACTAGACTGTATCACTTTAATTTTTCATATTTCAGTCTCGTCTCGGTTGCTGTTTCCTTTTTTTCACTGTTAGTCCTTCATGACCTTCGAAATTATTTTTCTACAATAACGAGTTACAGTCTTGACAATATAAAAATACGTCTGACTTAAACTCTGTGTAACAAATCCCCACTCAGCGCTTCAGAAATAGTAACTTAATTACTTAGTTTGTAAATTTGGGCAATGGGTAGTTAAATTAAGCACCACCAATAACAAGAGGTTCTTAAATATGTCTGCAGAGTTCAATTAAGTCAAATTTGAGCTCTGGTATTGGGTAAAAGGCCTCGTCGCCACTAGATATGGCAGACGTAGTGTGGTTGTTATATTACAACTTACTCTCTTTTATTGTCTTTCATAAGTTCTTAGAACTAATAATGTAGTTTTCTCCCGTTCACACTGTGGTTACTTGACTCGTAGTTGGAACAAGAAGACTAGCTTGCTGGTTCGCCATCACTTCTGAATGATAATAAAGTGAATAAATATAAAAAAAGTTGGTGTTAACTATGAAATAAATAAATAAATACTATTGTGTTATTAATCCTTACCATAAAATGTGATTAGCGAATGACGTAAATAAACTTATGATAATTACAATTAACTTTCACACCATAACAGTCGTGATTCATGAAAGTTGATGATTTAAATAGCACCTAGATCACTACTAGGTTTGCCGTATCCCACTTGGCCTGATGAATCTTAATACTGAACGAAAGGCCTCGTCGACATTCGACGTGGCAGAGGTAGTATGGTTGATATATTGTAATATATTCTTCTTTGTTTTCACTCATAAGTTTTTAAAATCGCAAGTTTGTAGGATCGAATGTGGCACACAAGTGAGTGTCCTAATGGGACTTGTTTTCAGATACAGATCCTTTAGGGGTACCTATAGAAGTAATTGGGGATAGCGGACGAACTTTATTGGTATACTGGGCCTTTGAACATCACAGCGGAGCGCAGATATTTTATGCAAGTTTGTACTAATATGAATAAAACGCTACTAAACATAAAGTCTTTTTCACAATTAGGTATGTCCCCTCCCAGTGTAAATCAGCAGGCTTCCAACGTTAAATATTGGGTTTTGATACCTGTGGTGGGCAGAACACGGATAACCCATTGTGTAGCTTTATGCTTAACAACAATACTTAGTTACATAAGAATCTAATGAACGAGATCTTATGCCACGCAAATTAAAATATAATTTTAATTATTCTGAGATGAGAGTCATATCAATGTAAATTATATTGTTATTTGATAAGTGCATAATGTCATCAAAGCGTTCAGTTTTATATTCAACTAGCTTTGACTTTACTACTATTTTAGTATTATTAATCTAATAAGTGCTAAATACTTTTGGTAACTTTTTAGCAAGCTTAGCTTTCTGGTTACTGTCCAACTATATATAAGTCTGTGAGTGTCTTTCTTTTTGAAGTGTTTATTTCATTTATATCAGTTTGGTCGCTTCAATTATTGAAATTTGTAACTAAATAGAAATTATGACTAAATAGGTGTATTTTACAGGCTATGTATGTTATATCAAAACAATTTTGAATATGAAAATCAACAAGTCACGTGACAATAATAGCCGATAAAATCGCGGTGGAATGGCATGTTTTCCAACAATGTTGCGTTTGTAGGTAGTGTGATGCCACCGAAAATTGTTCGCTTTTGAGAATGATATGTAGCAGGACTTTCCAATGCAACACATTCATGCACTAAGTGCATAAAGATATGTTCAGACTGGGGATTTATAATTTATAAAATTGGAATATCTTTTATATTTAATAAAATTGAAAAATAAAGGGGAATGGATCAACTTTGGGTACCAGGGCCACCCAGGAAGAAACCTGCAACAAGTTGTATCCCAGTCTGGTAACCACTGTGCATTTTGTAACAGGAGAAAATCCACAAATATTAAGGTAAGTGGCAAAAGCCATCAATGTGTCCTAGATAATACTACACAACACAATTAAGAAGGGTACCCTTCTGGAAACAAGACCAGTAGGGTATGGATTCACCAAGATAAGGCTTCCAGTCATACCTTCTGTACAGCCATTTCATATCTCAAGCAGTTATTCTATACGAAGACATATTGGTCAAGTTGCTGGATGCAGCGTCTATGAATTACTGTGTGATTGGGGTGTTTAAATGAGTGCTGGGATATAGCTTCCCTCACTTGATGGCTTATGGAAATTAATCACAGAGGGTGATGTGCTTTAGATCAGGTAGCTTAACGATGGAACATTTTGCAATAGAAACTACCTTGCCGAGCTATTGCCCAGATGAACGTGATAAAGCACGACTTGATGTGGCGATATGGGCTGTAACGAAATGATGAGCCTCTAAAATCGTTTTAAAAATGTCCTCAACTTTCTGTATTTGTAACGTTGATTTCATTATACAAATAAAGTTTTTGATGAGTAATTTATCGAACATTTTAATTGTCTTTTTCCTATATGTTTTCTTAAATGCGTTTCGTTCTGCCCGCCAGTAACTCAGTTTGGAATTTCGTGAAAAGCTACACGAGGGATATCTGCACTAGCCGTCTCTAATTTAGCAGTGAAAAACTGGAGGGAAGACAGCTAATCATCGTCACTCAACACCAACTCTTGGGCTACTCCTTTACCAACGAATAATGGGTTTGGCTGTAACATTATAACGCCCATACGCCTGAAAGGGCGAGTATGTTTGGTGGGACAGGGATGCGAACTTGCAACCCTCAGATTTTTAGTCGAGCGCCATAACCACCTGGCCATACTAGACCTAGTGGCTCAGCGGTAAACCTGAGAGATTATAATGCTGGATATCAGATTTCGATAATCGCGGTGAGCATAGCTCAGACAGCCCATTGTATAGCTTCGTGCTTAAGAATAAAATAAACAAAACTGTAACGTTTTAAATGTATGTATTATATTATATAGAAAATATATTACTTTTATGAAAATCTTTCATCAAACATTATTTTTTATTTAATTAATTTTTAATTCTGTTAGTAGTTATTTGAGAAATCATATTTAATTTATAAATGAATTATATTTCTTGCTTGGTAGAGAAGTGAATTAATATGCAAGAATTATCTAAATTATTGAACTGATGATTTCACACTGCTACAATTAAAAACATTGTTTGAAAAGAGTTTTATTGACAAATAACACAAATTAACTTTCGTGAGATGGCGTACTGATTGTCTATTAAAGTATGTTATAATACAAGTTCACACTCCATACATATTTGTAACATTGTTTACAGAGAGATTAATAACATCGTAGTTGGTTGTGAAAACGAAAAAATATGTGAATTACGTATATATAGGAGCAATGAATTGTATTGTTTTTAGAAAAAATACAATTAGGAATCCTTCATAGCACATGTATGTTAAACTAACTGCAAAACGAAAAACAAACATTTTAACAAGGCCTGGTAACTTGGTTATAACTATTCTAATTTGTACTTTAGTATAGGTTATAATTACGTAGTTATAAAGTTATATTCAGATATACTATAATAAGTAGTTATTATAATTTAATTTATTACTACTAGTAGAACCAACTGTTAAAAGCAACTTGCATTTCAGTTACACTGTACTCTAGCAATAGTAATAATAATGTGTAGCATTGTAGGTGGCTTAGTTAATTTACAAATTACAGTGCTTTATTTGTTTCGACAGGAAAATCTTGAATTCTTGTTTTTCCATAACGGCATGTAATTTTAAAAAATCTGTGTTATAACCCTGAAAACAAAAGGACTTCCATGTCATCAGTGTATGAGACATTTACATTGGGAGGTTCTTTGTGGATGCTTGATATGAATGGAATAGACATTGGATTTGATTTTTGTAATGAGATTAATATGTTGAGACTAAGTACTTTTTGAAAATTTTGATTACTCTGAATATTTTTCACACAGTGTAACATTCAGTATTATTCCCATCATTTAACATTGTGCAAGTAACATCTCATGGGTTGTAATGTTTTGTATTTCTTTACAAGTAGTTGAGTGATATTAAATGCGACAGTTTGACCACTGCTGTAAATTCTAGAACCATCTTTCATAGGATATTTTATAAATGTTATATTGATGTTCTCACTCAGTTACAGTGATCTGTGAACAGGACACTAGTATTAAAATATGGAATCTTCAGAAATGAAGACAGTCAGAAGAAGTGAAAGGAATATTAAAATTCGTCAGCTATATTCACCAGAACCATCTTCATCAAAGACAAAAAACAGAGCTACAAAGAAAGTAAACAGGACTTTTAGATATGTGTTACCAGAAATAGTTACACAAGAACAGTACACAGAAGTCAGTGGAAAACCCTTTTGCTGTGATATTTGCAAGTCACCCTATGTTATACATCCACATAGGTATGGACTTATGAATTTTAAAGTTTTATGTTTAGATTGACTAACTCTAAAGGAAGTTATTGAATAGAGTTAAAGAAGTTGAAAACTGTGAGTTTTAAAGTATGTATACAGATTAATATCACTCCTGATAATTTTCCTTTAGCCAAGTGACTAAAAAGGTATTAATTAATATTATTCATTAAAAGTAAACTGTGTGTTATCATTGTGGGGATTAGTGTTTTATGCATTGTTGCCAAGATAGATATAAAAAAGTTGTTACAATACATGAAGACCTGTATCACTTATTACAAGTTGCAAAATCTACATATTATGTGATATTGTAAATATGTGTATTGCTGGAACAAAAATTATAAGCATTAATTTGCATCTTGAACAAAGCAGAATGACTTTTGCTACATCATTTAATTATTTTAGGTTTAGGGGTAAAGAACTAAAATTCAATATATAAACTGATAAAGAAGGTTGTTCACAATCTATAGCAATACAAGGATTAATGCCTATTTAGTATATAGTAGTAATACATGGATGAGTACCTAATCTTATTATCTCTTGTTCCTCTATCAGTAGTATCCTCTTTGATGAACCTGTTATTGGACTGTTGCTGTACAGTGCAAGCCCCACTGCAAGAAGCTTTTGTAGGATACATTAAAGTCAATGTTATCCTTCTCCTTCTTGCATGTTTCCCAGACTCTAGACAGTAACATCTGAGGGCCTGTTTAAGCAACCTAATGATAACATGTAGTGTTCAGCTTAGCATTTGTCTCACTTCTTCAGAGGTGTAATTTCCATTAATTCTCTAAGATCAAACTCCCTTGTAAAATTTTGTACCATTTTTGAAATGTTGTATTGACACTTCAGACATGTGCTCCATCAATGTGATGATATACTACAATCTGTCACTGTTAGTACAGTTTTGGACAAATGGATGTTTGTTTATCCATGTGCTTTGTTACTTATGTAAAGCTAGATCCATGTTATTTATCTTGTTTAAAGGTTCCAAAAGAGGTTCCTTCTTTAGCTGCACTTAACCATTGTGCTCTTGAGTTATTTCTAGTGGCAAAGTGTTTAATATCAGTATCTCCTGTATGTGACCAATGGCTAATCATGGATTAGCCTATTTTTTGTTGTTGTTTTTTCTGTGCCAAAAACATACCTTTCTTGTTTTATTATTAATTCAACACTACAGATATTCTTTTTTTTTTAATACAAAAATTATTGTTTGCATGTATTTATAATTGTGCAATAGGTGCACGTTGCATTGAAAAGTTCTGTACTGCAACCATCTAAGAAGGAGTAACTTGTAGGCAATATCTATAATTGCAACTCACCAAACTGGGGCTTTTAACTTACATAATCATAGGCCACAGGAAGTGCCATGGGTTGGATATGCATATTGTTACTATGGGTTGTGAACAACCTTCTCCAAAGCACAAATGGGATTATTTTTAATGCTGAATGTAAATGTTTTAGTGTTACATGACTGTTTCAGAAACTAATAACTTTTTGTCTCGTGTATTTTTATACATATATCTCTGTTCACACTTCACACACCTACATTTACAAGTGAGCAAGGTTGAGATACATTGTTGCAAGTCAACTGTTGTTTGGAAAAATGTCAAAAGGAAAGAGTTTTACATGGACAAACAACAATTCAATATAGAGAATCCATTAGGAGCCTATTTATGGATGTTTGATTTGTTAAAATTGGTATATGATACTAATGTCTTATAATAAAGAATGATTCTCAAGAAATTGTTGTGGTATTTTCCTTTTTTTAGGAAAATAAAAAGGAGAATAAGAAACCTTCCAGCTCCTCGTCATCATTTGGACCCAGAAACAAATAAAAATTTAATCTTGTGTAATGCCTGTGGTTTAGCAATAAAAACTAAAAAATCAAAAAGGCCCAAAAAAGACAAAGTAAGTTTTAAGTCAAAAGAAACATTTATCTATAATACTATATAAAAACTTTTGAATATTTTTTATAGTTTGACATTAGTTAATATAAATTGAATATTTTTACTTAAAGATTTATCAAGTAATAATTACTTATGATTTGGTTGACAAACCATATTTCAGTTATATTGAATTTTGATAGAAATTCAGAGGTGCTTCTACAGTGTGCAGTCTACACAGATACTATCATCATCACCATTTTAATGATTTAATAAGTTGTGTGTTCCAGAAAGAGTACCTTAGATTTAGGATATGATTATACTAGTTTTGATTGTTGGAATTTATTTCATTCTGATCATATTTGCCCCAAAAACATTATCTAACGGTATTTTGTACTTTATTAGTTAAAAAGCGTTATTTATAATAAATGGTGCCAGCTGCAAATAAATTAAAGTTAAAATGGTGATGATGATAATATCTGTGTAGACTGCACTCTATAGTGTAAATATCTTTGTAGACCACATGCTATAGTAGCACCAATTCAGGATACATTTTATCTTATCACTTTCTATTTGTGGATAGCCACACTTTACTTTTGCTGTTCATATCCCATTATGTTGTATATTACTAGGTTCTGTTTCTTACTATATTCAGCAACTGGTTCCAGTTTTCATTTAGTTGTGAACAATTTTGAACAATGGAGGGTTCTCTCTGATTGACTTATGATTCCTTAAATCAAAATTTTGCATGTATTTGAGTTTTCTTTCCCATTATGTTGCAATACTTGTCTTTGCTTGCTACTCCTATTGACAAGCAGAAATTTCATGAACAGATCAAATTATTATCTATAAATGAAAGTACATTATACTGTTTACATTGCATGCTGAAATATAGTTTCAAGTTGTCTGAGCAGTGATACCAATTTAAAGTACCACATTATGAATCACCTTTCCAAACATAATGTGCAGTCCCTTTCTGATAAAACTTAAGGTTAGAAACACTAAATATAAAGGATAAAAATTAAACAAATAAATATTTCAAAGATTTTCCAGACAAGGATAGTGCTAACAAGACAGTCCTTCACTGAAATGCACATTTATTGGGTGACAGATACATCCCTCTTTGCCTTCATAGCCTCTATTACAGCACAACTTAAAATTCACTTCCAAGTTTAGCATTAATGAATGTCTGGAACAGATGCTTGTAAGTCAGAATGTGTAACTAGCACATAAAATCTGTCTGATGGGAAGGGTAATTATGTAATCCACTGGTACTATTGCAATATTTGCTAAATGTTTCAGTTTGAGCAGTAACTTGCTACAAATGTAATGACATTTTAAGAATGAGGAAATGATTGTTGACTTGATTGAAATATACGCTATAATATTATCATATTTAACCACAAATATTGTTCATCATCTTTATATGCTTTCATACCATTAGTAAACAACAAATTTTACTGTTTGTTTTTTGAAATGCATTTATGATATGGCAAGTAATACACATATTTCACAAAACATTTTCATTTATCTAGTAACACTTGAGGTGTTGATCATTGTGCTAGAAATACTGTATTGAAATTAAGTAACTTTGTTTATGTGAACAAAAAGTAATACTAAAAATGTCTTATAATAAGTAGGCAAACAATGATTTATAAGCATAAGGAAAAGTTTTATTGATGGTGGAACATACTACATGTTTCGGCAGAACAGTGGTCTGTCTTATTCAGATATGATCAGTACTAATATCAATCTTGTATTCTTTAGTTTGTTTGTTTGAATTTCGCGCAAAGCTACACGAGGGCTATCTGCGCTAGCTGTCCCTAATTTAGCAGTGTAAGACTAGAGAAGGCAGCTAGTCATCACCACCCACCGCCAACTCTTGGGCTACTCTTTTACCAGTGAATAGTGGGATTGACCATCACATTATAATGCCCCCACGGCTGAAAGGGCGAGCACATTTGGTGGGACAGGGATTCGAACCTGTGACCCACAGATTGCGAGTCGAGCGCCCTAACCACCTGGCCATGCCTGACGTATTGTTTAGTACTGATTAGACTTGAAGAACACAGACCGATGTTCATTATGTAGAAACATGGAGTGTGACATTGAATTGTTGGAAAGGTTTCAGAGGAGGGATACTAGGATGATACCTAAGATGGAAAATTTGTCATAAGAAAATTGGTTAAGATCTCTGAAATTGTTTCCTTTTAAAAAAAAATAAGTTAGAAGGGGAGCAGATTGAGGTGTTTAAGACTGTTAAAGGAATTGATAGTATCAGTACATCATCTTTTTTTGTGTCTGATGGGAAAATGGTTGGCTAGTGTATACAAATATAAATTTTGATAGTGTAGAAGTCATTTAAGCTAAGACAGTTTTATTTTTCCTAAAGGGTGGTTTCACCTTTGGAATGGGTTGCTTTCAGATGTGTGGATGCAGTAAATTTAAGGGAGTTTAAGAGAAGGCTTTTTTTTTTAAAGTTTAGTAGGTGGGATGGACTAGTGGATGGCTTGTTGTCCTTAGATTTTGTGTTACATTATATGGTTTTTTTAATGCTGTATCTTAAAGAAAGAATACAGGATTGTGTAAGAGTCAACACACAAAAAGGATGATTTGATACAAATGTGTTAAAACACTAATGTATTGTCAGACATGAATGCCTTTTCCAGGCTGGCAAATCATGATTGAAATTAATTATAGTTGTCATCAGACATTAGTATTAGGCTTGTTATATTTGTTCACAAAACAAACTTTATCTAATCCCTTAGGAATTTTTAAGAATTAGAAGAGTGTATAATAATAGTATTCCAATCACACTATTTTCACTATATCCATTGCTGATGATGTGTTTTACTTAGTCAAGAGTTCATCAGGCTGGCTGGGACAAGACAAACACAGTAGTGGTTGGATCACTATTTATATAAGCCACTTGTTATGGTGTGAACACCTTTTCCAAGCTGGTAAAGCATGATTATAATTAATTATACTTGTCATAAGACATTAGTATTAGGCCTATTATACCATAGTCTAAATGGTCAAGGCTAAAATGATACTTTTATTATTTAGTATGTGTATATTGTAGTCTGAGCAAATTGGCTGTATTCTTACTTTTTAAAATCATTATACTATGTCTAAAATGGTACCTAGCCTTTTCACATCAAACTTATCATCTAGAATAAAATGATCAAATTTGCAAAGAATCTTGAAGGGCTTCCCCTTTGCCTTAATTGTGGTTAACACCCAGCACATAATTAACCTGATGCAGAATGGTCAGACTTTTGCATTTTTTCCCACTGTAATGTATAGTGAGAGACTGATATCTTCAATTGGACATAATATTTTTGTTTCAGTACTTTTGTTGAACCATTATGTATTATATTGTTATCAACTTCAAGCTATTACCAACCAATGTCTGGTAGAACAAATAGGTAGTATTATAGAATGAGAAGGTGGTGTTGTGCAAGTTAAATTTAGGTGCACAGTTAAAAATGTCATTATCATTTGTAGTTAGTTTTAGTTCAAGAATATATGTTTCGTTTTGAAAAAAACACCAACTTTAAAATCGTTAATGATTATAGTACGTAAGCTTAAAATGTTATTCAGTTTCATTAAATAGAAATATTCTTGAACCTGAGATAAACAATAAATAGTGTTTGATGCAAGTCTTAATTGTTTCTTTGCAAGTAGACCCAGTAAGCTACTAAGTTTGTTAGATAAACTAGTTGGAGTTTTTTACATTTTGTGATATTTATGGTATTATTATTATTTTTGAGACAGATTATTCCATCTCCAGAAGAAAAGGAGAAGTACTTAAGAGAAGCTCAGGCATTTGCTCTTTCTCTTGTGGAAGTGCTTAGAGATCAAGATGCTGAACGGCTCTTCTGTCCAGAATTTAAACAGCAACCTTGTGCATGCTTGCAGAAGTATATAATTGGTGGAGGTGAATTTATTTTGAAATTAAAACTTACAGAGTTCATTTCTTGTTATTTTAGTTGAACCAATGAAGTTTAACCCATTGACTGCGGCTGCTCTAAATGCATGTGGAATTTTTACACTGTATACAGCACATTTACATTCAACTGCTGGAGGCAGACCATATCCTATATTGCAAGTCAGCAGTCAATGGGTTAAATGGAAAGATTCGAGTTGTAGTCAAAAGGTTAGAGTGAAATGATTATTGTACATGTAATATAAACAGTGTTTATAGAAAAGGGATAAACTCTGTGGCTTATTGGGGAAAGAGCATAGTATTGGCATCGGTTTCACCCTCCAGTACCCAATACTCCTGTTTTTGCCTGATCCTTTTGACCTCTCCCCTCTACACCTCAAGTCTGAGGCATTCCACCATGTCCTAGCAAATTTTGAGAGTGTTTCTTGTTCCCTTCACTTCTCCATTGTGACCATTCCACTTCTACCATTCCCTGCTCACTTGTTTCTTTGTTGCTGGGATTATTGGATAGGAATACTCTCCTATCCCAAGGTCTGATTTTATACTTGTCATAATGCTCACCCACCTTTCTGACCTTTACCTCGGGTCCTGGCCTTGATTAGAAACACTCTTTGTCTTTTCTTCTTGGTGGTACCTCTCTGGTTGGCTTAACTTTGGTTCCCTCTTCTGTGCCATATATGGCTCCATATATGCCCACTGTTGAGATGGGGTGTTACACAAGATCACTTGATGTATCCTCGTGGTGTATTTTGATATCTGACTACTGCCATTACTACAAATCAGATCACAATTTTGTAATGTGATTTTATTCAAAATCAGCTATTTTTTTTAAACACCTTGCATGCTGTTTTATAATACTGTATGCATGATAAACTATAAATATGAAATGCACGTTTAAAAAACTTAGACTATAATACTGTAAAGTTTTACCATGTTAAAAGTAATAGTGAATTTTCTTTTAAATATTCAATTATGCCGTCATGTTGCCTGAGCAGTAACATCTTAATGAAGGTATAAGGAATATGACTTACAACTTATAATTACATCTCATTCTAGCTGAACAAATATAATAATTTGGTAATTAGAAATATAAATTATTTAAGAATCTTCTCCTTTCTATGTTATGGGACTCCCTGTGGAATTAAAATTGTTTGACAACTACTGTAGTTATGAAAGCATCTAACGATGTACTTGGTAGTTAAGAGGGTGAAAATTATTTTCATAAGTATTATCATTATAAACATAGCACTATTAGATTTTTTTAAATATGGTGTTTGAGAATAAGTTAATATTTTGGAGTACAAGTTTTTTTGTTTTCTTCAATTTTAAAGTTGATATTTTTTCAGGTGATACAGAGAGACCAGAACTAAAAGCAGGACATCTTCTTCACCTTTTGAAAGAGGCAAAACAGTTGAGCAGATTAAAGTGTTACACAGTTGAGCAGGTACAATTTATTAAATGTGAAAGCTTTTCTCAAATCACTTTTGTAAATTCTTGAAGATACTTATGATATTAGCACCTGACTTACTGCACAATGTTGCATAAATTACACAAAAATACTGTTTGTTGGATGTAAGAGAAGCCAAGTTACTTCATTAAGTTGTAATAAAGTAATATAATCAATGTTTAATACTAAATATTCACAAGGATAACATATAACATGGAATCAAAGACAGATTCACTAGTGTAGTATGGGAAATTCAAAGTTGTACTGAACAAGAACAAAGCACTTTGTTGATGTGAATTGATGACACGTTTGAAGTGCAGTTGAGCTTGCTAATGTAATCAACCATACCCTTTACCTCTCAAGTATTTGATTGTTGTGATGGCTACTATACTTCTCCATGTTTATAGCATGTGGTAAAAATTGTTAATATCTGAAGCAATTAAGATTAGGCCATTTAATTGTTTCATCATTTGAATGTACAAAATTCATACAGTTAATTAGTCACAATCAAGTTGAGACCACTATTACATTTCTTTCCTAACCCTTTCAATTTTTTTTTTTGTAACTTTTGTATCATGGCTTAGTCAGGCTCATTTCATAATTTTTCTGTATGTGTATACAGGTGGAGTTGTAAAACCATTTTGAGGACTTGTAAAATCACCCAACAGACTCCCAATATATATAATCTTGGGGTACGAGGTATATCTAAAATTCGGAGTGAATATTAATTGTTTGAGTGATGGTGGGTGGGATTATCCAAAAATGTATTATGAAAATATGAAATTGTATGCCACTGTGGTATTCCTTATTTACTGTATGATTATTGTAAAGCAGGAAATTCAGAGTATTTAGTTGTAAACTTAACAGTAGTTACGTTAGGAAAGAACAAGTTTTCACATATACACAAACGCATGCGCATTTGTACAATAACTAGTAATAAATCACTATTAACCCTTTTGGAATCAATGTTACATAAGGTCACTCTAACTGGAAAATTGCATATCTATATTGAAAATGTAACTGGAAATGTGAATGTACTCACTTCAATAAGTTTGTATGAGAAATTAATGAAGGAATGATAACTTAATTATTGTACAATGGTTTAGTTAATTTGTAAATAAAATTTTCAAACTTGTCGAAACGCTGTACATTTCCTGTTATGTTAAACTTATATTAAAGTTTTTTTTCATTACCCATTCATGCCGTCTCCAACCATTTTTAGTCTCAAAGTGGGTTCCTCGTCATCGAATTCTTATGGTTAATAGCATATATTATCACCCGAGTCTAATTTTTAATAGATTTCTTTTTTTATTAGATACTAATTACTAACTAGCTTTGGTCCTACTTTTTAGACGTAATCTGTCTTCAGTGAAATCCTAAGAATCCTGGAAGTTGCAGAGATTTGATTCTTGATCTTCTTGATAGAAAAGCTGATATGCCATTCACTCATCTGGGGTTCCCCCATTATGGCTTGAATAACTTATTTGAATACTTTCAATATGGGTATCCAGGTTTTCCTACCTTCTGTGCCAGATTTATTCAAATCCAAATATGAGAGACCACGGAGAAGGGGATAGCACACCAGCCTCTCTATCAAGAAGACCGAAAGTCAAACACTGACTATACCACCAAAGAAACAGTCCTTCTAAGAAATTCACTGAGTACTTAAATACTAGATATAACTATACAATTTTCTTTACTTAGAAACTACATATGCTCTAGAAGTTACGTTTTATGCAATTTGATTAAGCAGTTTATGCAACCCTCAGAAAAATGGGCCTGTGGATTCAACAGGACCAGTAGCAAAAGGGTTAAACTTTAGATCAGAAGTCAAAATGAACTCATCTAAAGATAAACACATGAATATTAACACAAAACAGGAAGAAAAACTTTGGTAAAGAAGAAATAGACATAACCACAGGAAAGATCTCCAAGTTGGCATTGAATTCATTGTTACTTCTGACAGATAAATGTCTATGTAGGTGAAGCTAGTTTGTGACATTTTGCTTTTTTTTTTCAGAATAATGGAAAACAAAAGAAACGACCTGCACACAATGTTGGTCTTGGAAATGGACAAAAAAGAAGTGTGAAATTTGAAGAATTTGTCCTGCAGAAACGAAACTACCTGAAACATAGTTTAGGGCTGTGTGAACGTGCAACACAGCGCGTTCTCATGTACTCCAATAATTTTCTGCACAAGAGATTAAAAACCGAGCCTGAGGTGAGGAAATTAAAAAGATAAAGAATATGGTACTTTTTAAATTATTTCAAAATGAAAAGGAGTATGAATTAGAATCTGTTACCATACATGCTGTGGCTGTAGTTTGTTTACTAAATTTCTTCCTCTTGAGGAAGAAATAATTACACTTATTAAATTTCTTAAATAAATTGTCCAATGTTGCCATAATTTTTCATGTGCCAAATATGTTATTTTTCAGTTACTGTTAAGTGGCAAAAATAAATCAATGAGGGGTGTATAGGCAAATATTTTCATTTCACTAATTTTATAATATTTCTGTAAATGTAATTGATAAATTGGTGTTTTCTTTGTTTTTTTCAAAGCAGTTAAGAAGTTTTTAATATTCTAAGAATTACAGTGCAATAGAGGTTTTAATTAAATTCTTGTATATAATAGAAAAGTGTGATTGTACCATAATTGATCATTGCTATCTGTCTCTGTCACAGTAGATAAAGAGAACAAGTTTATTCTTTACACACAAATAGAAACTAAACCTTAAATCCTTCATATGTATGTTTATTTAATTAGAATTGTAATACAATATGCAGGTACCATGGTAATTGCGATTTTTCTGAGTTAAGTTATTATTAACTCAAAGATTATACAAAATTATGTACTAAATAGTTGAAAATAAAAAATGTAAGTTCCGTAGGTATTTAAGTTTCAATTTGTAAATAATCTCAGAAAGGGCCACGAGTTGAGAGGAAAAAAGGAAAAGCTGCTCTTGGTCTTTTAAAGCCAGTCACAGATCTGGCAACAGAAACATGTTGTCTCAATTATTGTATATTGATGGCAATATCTCATGAGCTTTTGCTGGAAGAATGGAGAGAACGAGCCAAATCAGGACAGGCTGAGGCGCGAAGAGTTCTGGCTGAAATGCTTACTCCCTCTGGCGGTGGAAGAACAAATTGTTACAAGTTTATTTCGATGGTAACTCTCTTTTTCCATCATTGAATATTTGTGAATATATTTTTTATTTCCTTCTTAATAAGATATAAGATTATTTTTTATCATTCATTTTTTTGGTAAATATTGATATTAGGTTGTCAAGAAATTAATGTCATATTTTGGAACACTTTCATTAACCACCCCCAAAAAATGTACATCATGTATAATAGTTAAATGAAATGCCTAAACATCATGTTAGTGTAGCCTATATAATGTGTATAGTTTAGTTTACTCTAATCCCTTATAGTGATGGCACACGATGAGACACACATTCGGCATGTAATGCTGTTTGAATGCAAGTAGGAAAACAATGTCTCTGTAGCCACAAAAATATCAAAGAAGTTTATGGAAATGTTTTGAATGTTCATAAGTGTCAACGATGGTTCAGCAAATTTCATTCAAGTGATTTTAGTCTTAAAAACTATGATAGCAGGACATTTTGGAATTTATATTGATGCGATAAAGATACTTGTTGAGTCTAACCCAAGGCAACACACTCATGAAATGGCCCTGAAATTGCATGTCTCTCATGAAACAATACATGAACAAAGGAATATGGTAAAACTCCATAAAGAAGGTGTTTGGGTGCCTCACGAACTCTCTGATGATCATCGTTTCCAATGTGTGAACGTTGCTTCATCTTTTCTGGTGCGTAATGCTCGTGAACCATTTTTGGACAGAATTGTCACCGTTGATGAAAAATGGATTCTCTATTCAAATATTAAAGGCCAAAAACAATGCCTCAGTCCTAGACAAAAAACCACTTCCGACCCTAAAACCTGGACTCCATTCGCAGAAAGTGATGCTTTGCATTTGGTGAAACATCAAAAGAGTAATTCATTTCGACCTCCTCAATTCACAGTGAATCAATGCATAGATCTTTAGTCAGAAACTGTATCATTTAAATCAAGCCCTTCACTTGTTAATCTCCATGACAATGCACGTCCACATGTAACACGTTTGACACAACACAATATTATGTAGTTGGGTTGGGAAGTTCTCCTCCTCCCACCATATTCTCCAGATATGGCACCATCAGATTACCATCTTTTTCGTTCGCTGCAACACCATCTTATTGGGAAAACATATGCAAATATGGAAGGTGTTAAAGAAGGCATCGACATGTTTTTGCTTCAAAGCCAAGTAATTTATTTAATCAGGACATTAACAACCTGATTATAAGATGGAAAAACATCATCAATAAGAACGGAGACTATTTCATTTAATAAATGTTTTGTTTTGATATACAAGTTGTTCTGGGTTTTTTCAAGTAAAAAAATGTGTCATTAATTTCTTGATGACCTAATACTTAACTGTTTACCAGATTACAATGAGTCATTGTTTTTTAGTGTTGGTATTCCACAGAATTGTGTTAAATAATTGTAATGTGGGTAAAGTTTTATAAATGTAAATGAATCAGCATCATTTTGCCATATCTATATATTTTTTAATGTTGCCAAAATATGAGATTCATTAAAGTGCAAAAGTTATTTACATGTAGGTTGGATATGTTAAATTTATGTTTGTCATATATTTAGTGTGTATTAAGATATCACTTTGAAGTCAGTTAGCGTATAATTTTATACAGAAAAAAATGCTTTTTGTGTACAACTAACTGAATAATGATGATAGCTTTTTTAATGAAGATGTGGATGATTTGTTTAGTTTTTTTTAGCCATGCAGCTATGATAGTTCTTACTATTTAAATGTGAGTACATGTAGAACATTTTGCAACCTGCATGTAGCTATAGTATGTTTGTCCTGCATTAACTGACTTTGAGAAAAGTTCCCATAGAAATCAAGAAGGTTGAGTTTATGTGTAACTATTAAAGAATTGTTGATTGCATTTTATTTTGCTTTATGTAAACTAGCAGAAACACCACCCAATTGGCTCTTTGAATAAAGATTTAGAAAAAGTGAACATTTTCTAAATAAGGATTTATTTCTGGGAATTACTGCACGGGAAAAGCTATAGTATGTTTGTCCTGCATTAACTGACTTTGAGAAAAGTTTCCATAGAAGTCAAGAAGGTTGAGTTTATGTGTAACTATTAAAGAATTGTTGATTACATTTTATTTTGCTTTATGTAAACTAGCAGAAACACCACCCTATTGGCTCTTTGAATAAAGATTTAGAAAAAGTGAACATTTTCTAAATAAGGATTTTTTCTGGGAAGTACTGCACGGGAAAAGTGTTCGGATTCTGCTCTTTAGTCATACGCAACTCATTGCCTCAAAATGATTCTATGTACAGAGCTCAAAATTTTCTTACATTTTATCGATATAAACTGTAATGTTTTAATATATTAAAAGTGGTATACCATTTGTTTAAAAATAATAGTTTATTAAGAACTCCAGTACTACATTTAAAAATTACATCAATAAAGATATAATCAAACCTTCACATACAGTTCTAATGAAAGTTGTATTCTTGTTGTGAGGAGAGTACTTTTATTTAAAATTGTGTTCTAAAGAAATGGTTGTTGCTCATACAGCAATTATTTTTCTACTTCTCTGAATCTTGAATACACATAGTGTGAAATTTTTCATGGATATTTGTTTGTGATGGCATTCAATAGATGGCGCATGAGTTTTGGTTACACAAATAGATACTAGCATACACACTAGGTCCATTATAGTAAGATTTGTTAAAATAAGTAATATTTTATATCAACATGTTGTTAACTTGGTAATTTTGACATAGAATTTAATTTAGGGTTCTTTCATGATTAAAGTAAAGATACAACCAATCAAAAGTTTTATTTCATGACATTTTCACCCCATTGTGGCTCAGCAATAAATTTGAGGGCTTTATAGCTGCAATTAAGCTGATGATCTATGTGGTGGGGTACAGCACATGTAGCTCATTGTACAATTTTATGCTTAACAATAAAAGAACAGAAACATGTTATTTTCCTCAATTAAGTTATTTTAATTATACTGTTGTTACAAAACATGGTCATTGTTAGCAATATTATTTATATATTAAAAACAAGATTACATGTGTTATCTGAATTTTTATTTTATGATTTCTTGATTTGTACTAAATAGTCTGTTGTCATTACTACCATTATAAAACATGATTAATGTAAACAGGTTTGGAATTAGATTGAGATAGCTTATTTCATAATCTGCTCTGTAGATCACAGGATGTAGTTACATTATCTTTAGAAGGCAGGATAACTGTAAACAAGGTTGGATTTAGATTGAAATGCCTTACTTCATAACCTGTTCTGTAGATCACAGGATGTAGTTACATCAACATTAGAAGGTGGGATTACTGAAAACAAGGTTTGAAGTAGATTGAGATGCTGTACTTCATTTTTTGTTATTTAGGTTACAGGATGTAGTTACATCAATATTAGAAAGCAGGATTACTGTAAACAGGGTTGTAAGTAGATTGAGATGCCTTACTTCATGATCTATTCAGTAAGTCACAGAATGTAGTTACATCAACATTAGAAAGCAGGATTACTGTAAACAGAGTTGGAAGTAGATTGAGATGCTGTACTTCATTTTTTGTTATTTAGGTTACAGGATGTAGTTACATCAACATTAGAAGGCAGGATTACTGTAAACAGGGTTGGAAGTAAATTGAGATGCTGTACTTCATTTTTTGTTCTTTAGGTTACAGGATGTAGTTACATCAACATTAGAAGGGTTGGAAGAAGATTGAAATGCTGTATTTCATTTTTTGTTCTTTAGGTTACAGGATGTAGTTACACTACTATTACAAAGGTCAATGATCAGATGAGGCGAACTGGTGGGAACCGGGAACCACCTGAACATGGGCTCAAACGAAGGTGGCAGTCAGAAACTCAAGAAAAGTGAGATATATTTTTGTGTATATTCAATAGCTGTAATTTTGCTTAGCATTAAAAATAATCATTATTGTCATTAATACTTGAGGGAGGTATTTATTTTCATAAATCTGTTGTAAGAGTTAGTATTGTACAATGAAACTTTAACTTATATATATGTAACTGCTTAGTTTAGAGTTATAAAAAAATTCATTTCAAGGTTTTGAAGTATTATAGTATTTTTAGTATCAAAATGCTACCAGTCTTAGTTTCCTTAGTTGTACATATTCTTATAAATTGACTTTGATCAACTACCCGCTATTAGAATCCTAATTTTGTGTCAGATAATATTGTATGTACAGATTTATGAAATTGGTTTCATTATTTATAGAATTTCAAGTAAATGTGGTTTCAAGAAGTTGAAAATAAAAAAAAAAATTGTTAAAATTTCTAATGTAGCAAAATGTATCTAAGAATGGTTCTTTTACAAATGTGTTTTTGGAAATATAAGTATTAATATTTTTTACTGAACAGAATACTCTGAATTTACCTTCAGTGCTATATTATAATTCTGAAAGACTTAAAAAGCCTGGGTGGATTTTTAAACAGAAAGTAAGCTGTCAAACAGTTAGTATAAGTAATTATGAAAAAGGCAAGAAGAAATAGTTAAATTCTTTGGTAAAAGTCATCAGGTAGAAATAGGTAATTAAGATTATATATCAGTTATGTTCTTATTATATGGCAGAACACATTTTCTTATTCGATGGCAAAGAACCCACTTTGAGAGTAATAATGGTTGGAGACGGCTTGAATGGGTAATGAAGAAAAACTTTAATATAAGTTTAACAACCATTATATAGCAACAATGATTCGAAACATGATATAATATGTAGTTAGTGTGTAATGAAATCTCGTATAGTTAAATAGAATTGATCTTTTGTTCTAAGCCAACTAATACAGTCTGAACTTGTGACCATTTGTTGCATGTCTGACAGAGTGTTATAATTAATTAATGTTTTCCTTAAATATATTGTAAATATCACATGTTTAAATAGAATAGAACTTTTATTGTAAGTGGACTGACTTTACTAAGTAGGAATGGAAATATAAGAACTAACTTGTATGAAAGTTACTTTAATTTATATATATTTCAATTTTGTAAATATCAACGGTTATTATGCTGTCAGGTACAAAATGTCCAAATTGTAAGATGGACCATACCGATATTTCTTTACGAGCTTAAATGATTACACCTTCAAGAAGTTAAGACTATGTCTCTAACTTTGCGTGTTATATTTAAAGGACAGATATATGAGTTATAGATCGAAACTTAGTATAATGGACGTAACAACTTATTTGGATTATAAACATACTGGATTTATAAAAAGTTAAAGAAAATGTATGTATTGTCTTGTACAAAGTTGTACATTTGATGTTATGTTTTTCTTCATTACCCATTCAAGCCATCTCCAAGCACATTTTCTTATTCTTAGTCCTGTATTAATCATATTTGTAGTTATTCTCACAAATACACATATGTTAAGTAATATGTTTTTAGGGTTATTGATGAAGCAAATTTAGAAAAAGATGTGGATAAGGCCGAACAGCAAGGAACTGAATCTTTAGCACGTCCTTCCAACAACGAAATAAGCAAAACAACCACTTCAACAAATAGTCAGGTCCCTGTGCCATTTTCTGATGGTAAACATGCAGGAAACTCTCAACAAAATTCTAATGTTCAGGTCAGTTTCATACCCCAGCATCATATCAGAACATAAGTATAATAAGCATACAAGATTTTAGCTGGTTGATCATTTTAACCCGCATACAAGATTTTAGCTGGTTGATCTTTTTAACCCGCATACAAGATTTTAGCTGGTTGATCTTTTTAACCCACAGTTCTAATATTATTTTGATACCTTCATTTTGAAAGTACTAGTGAAGCATGAAATACAGTTATTAAATTTTGAAATTAATGAAACTGTGATTTAAAATCCAAATAAAGAATAATGTAATATTAATTAAATGCCTATACATAGATATAATTATTCCATACCTGGAATTGCTTCTTAAATCTGTTTCCCAAAATAAATATAAAAAAATTGGTTTAACCAGTAACTTATGAATAATTTATTAGGGTTAGTGCTGCCTCTTGCAAATTGTGATCTGCAGTGATCTAAGATTAGTAGTATGCTATTATCATTTTATAGAATAGAAGGTATTTAGTATTGTTACTGCTCCAGGTGTTAATGAAAACAAATTTTTTTCATGTAGCTCTCTAGACACTTCATAATATAATTGTTGTGTGCAATCAAGCCATAGTGTCAGCTTTATTATATTATATCATATTAAATTGCTATACATTTTGCCTGTTACAATACTCATTGTACAGACTGACAAAAATAAGATTGGGTGAAAGCACTAACTTACAATGTAAGATATATAAGAAACCTTATCAATAATTAGTAGAATTAATTGCAATCTTGATGGTACTTGCGTTTTAGTTATTAGGGTCTAAGTAACCAGTAATAAAATGTGTTTAACAGCCAATGAGGGTGATTTTATGATTAAGAGTTGCTGTTTTTGAAGGCCCTAAATGAGTTTTGTTGTAATGGACTTTTTTACATAGTGAAGTAGATTCTTACAAACATTTCTTCTTTCATCAGTCATTCTCATTGACAAACGTTTTTTTAATTATGAAGAAGTGTGTTTGTTCTTCATGAAACACTGTGCAAAATTATTGGAGGTCTTAAGAAGTAACTAAAAACTTATAAAACGTTCAAGAAAAGAATTAAATGGTTTATTAAGTACAACATTGAAATTAGATAATAACTTTGTCAGAAATAACTCGGGTTTTTGAGGTGGATGGAGTAATATACTTATAGTAATAAACATGCATAAGAAAATTTTGTTCGATCATTGCCTAGATATCCTTCTGTTCTTATACACAGGTATTTCTAACACTTGATCCAACTTCTAGAGAGCAAACAGTTATTCTTTCTCCACCAGAGGGCAGTATAAATCTTCCAACAAATTTCCAAGTTTTTTCTCCCCAAGATACAAATTATCAAGTAAGTTTTTAAATTTTGAGGTTTTTGAATTATATACAAATTTATTTGATACATACTACTTTTCTGATCGTGATGAGGTGTCAGTGTTCATACTACTATTTCTGGATATGAGGAGATATCAGTTGAAACATACTACTTTTCTGATTGTGATGAGGTGTCAGTGTTCATACTACTATTTCTGGATATGAGGAGATATCAGTTGATACATACTACTTTTTCAGAACATGATGAGGTGTCAGTTGATATGCACTATTTTTTCAGAACATATTGAGGTGTTGATACATACTGCTATTTTCATAACATGATGAGGTTCAGTTGATACATACTACTTTTCTGATCGTGATGAGGTGTCAGTGTTCATACTACTATTTCTGGATATGAGGAGATATCAGTTGATACATACTACTTTTCTGATTGTGATGAGGTGTCGGTGTTCATACTATTATTTCAGGATATGAGGAGATATCAGTTGATACATACTACTTTTCTGATCGTGATGAGGTGTCAGTGTACATACTACTATTTCAGGATATGAGGAGATATCAGTTGAAACATACTACTATTTCAGGATATGAGGAGATATCAGTTGATACATACTACTTTTTCAGAACATGCTGAGGATTTTTTTCCTTCTAATTACAAGGATACTTTATTTTTGAAGAAATTAGCAAAATAAAAATTTTTACCGTATTTTTATATCTGCTACAAAGTTAAAACTTTTTAACACAATATTACTTGTCTGATAATGTAAGAGTTGAGTACATCCCCAAGAACACAACTGCATTGCTACAGATAAGAAATATTACTTACCGAGAACACTGAAACAACTGATTAAAGCTACTGATGGAAAGGATAAATCTACAATTTTTGATTACTGGAAGAAATATAACATTATGGATGCGAGAGACAACATCACCAAGTTGTGAGATGAAATGAAGGAGTCAACTATGAATGGTGTGTGGAAAAACATATGGGCAGAGTGTACCAATGACTTTACAGGATTCCCCCAAGCAGAAAGTGCTGGGAAAATTCACCAAAACATTGTGGCACTTGCAAGACGGGCTGGTTTTGAAGATATCATCAAAGATGATGTGTTTGAGTTATTAAAGTCCCATGGAGAAGATATGTTGAATGAGGATCTGATAATGTTGAAATAAGAGCAAACTTCAGAAGGGGAAGATGTTATTGAAACACCAACCACGCAACTTCAGCTGACTACCAACAACTTATCCCAATCCTTTGCCCTCGAAGAAGAAGTGATGCAAGTCCTTAGTACTAATGATCCTAGCCATAAACACAGCCTAAAAGTTATAAGATGACTGCATGATGACTACAAGGAGTTGTACAAGGAGAAGATGCAACAGAAACAACAAACAACTCTCGAAGCATTCTTCGTCAAAAGAGCTGAGCCTACACCACATCAAGATGATGATGATGAATATAATGATCATGATCATGATTTACAGGTGATGCAGATGTCAGTACCAATACTGAGTCTCCTTCTCCCTCCCTGTGTAAAATTTAATTATTTTTGGTATACCTACTATTATTTTTGGTGAATAAACTATTAAACTATGTCATTTGCATTTAATATGTGTTTAAAAATGTTTTCTTATGTTCATATGTATGTTTTTATTACTTTTGTGGATAAAAAAAATTTCCGTAAGTTTGCATCTACACTTATAACATGGGAGTGAATGGGGAAAATTGGAAGCTTTTTTAAGAACACATCCCTTCCGTAACATGGGGGGCGAATGTATATTTATGCTGCAGATAATAGTTTGCAAGGATGTTACGTAACATGGGGGTCGAATGTATATTTATGCTGCAGATAATAGTTTGCAAGGATGTTACGTAACATGGGGGTCAAATGTATATTCATGCTGCAGATAATAGTTTGCAAGGATGTTACGTAACATGGGGTCGATTGTATATTCATGCTGCAGATAATAGTTTGCAAGGATGTTACGTAACATGGGGGTCGAATGTATATTCATGCTGCAGATAATAGTTTGCAAGGATGTTACGTAACATGGGGTCGATTGTATATTCATGCTGCAGATAATAGTTTGCAAGGATGTTACGTAACATGGGGGTCGAATGTATATTAATGCTGCAGATAATAGTTTGCAAGGATGTTATTTCAAGTTATTTACTCGTGTGAGTACTAATGTATTCTGTTTGTTGTGGTTTCTTTTGATGCTCATATGCTACTTTATTCAAAGTGTACAATTAATACTTCTTTTTTAATCTTTTTTGTCGTACGAGACTGTTATGTAACTCATATTTATTTTTGATTAGCCATTTAGAGAACCTTTACCACCATATCCAGAGAGGCCAGATGAGAACCTGAGTACAGAAGTTAATAAAGTCCAGCAAGCTGATCCGAACTCACCTAACCCTATAAACACAGCTACGGATACTTGTCCACTTGTAGTACCCACAGCACAGAGCTGCAACTCTCAGTCTACAACTACTCTGTCTGTTCAGGTACAGTTTAAACATCTAATTAAAAAACTGTCATATTGGTTTTTTATTATACTCACAAGTAGTACTACTTCTGTATGTTGTTTATGTTAATCAAAAGTTATCTTCATTAAACCTTGATAGAATCATGAAGAAAATATATAATTTTTGTCATTACTTTTTATTTTTTTGCATGGGTGTAGGGGTGAAGCAGAAATAATAAAACTTTCCTATATAGCAATTATTGCTATTTATTTAATATGTTAAAAAAAAATTCAAAAACACTGTTTAGAATTATGATCATTTATTTTTCAGAAAATACTGTTTTTAGTTGTTGTGGAAGTTTTAGGGTTTTATCATGAGTAAAGAATGACAATGTTAGAGATGAATTGGTAATTTTTACATATTTCTAAAATTACTGTATGTTTCTGCATTATGTGTATGTTACAAAATTGTCTTTTAAAAGAAGAAACAGTAATTTTTATGGAAGAAAAAAGTATTTAATTGAATTTATTTCTGTATATTATGTATTTAATTTTCCCCCCTAATTCAGTAAGTCTAATACAAAGATTTCCTAATTTCAATGAATGTTCTTCTTTTTATAGTAAGAGAAGAGTTTATTTTCTAAACAAATTATTATTATTATTAGAAATAATGACATTTTTTAAACACACACACAGTACATGTATACAGGCAAGATTGAAGCTAAAATCATAAATAATATTCAATGTTAAACTGGTACACAATTAAAAACATTTTATTTAGGCCTATCTATGG